CCACCACCACCTGGAGGCGGCGGCGGAGGCAATCCAACTCTCCCACCGGGGGGTGGAGGTGGAGGCGGCAATCCAGGAACACCTTTGGCACCACCTGGCGGAGGTGGCGGTGGGAGAGCCATTCCACCAGGTGGTGGGGGAGGAGGTGAACCAATCCTTCCACCCGGGGGAGGCGGCGGCGGGAGAGCGGAGCCCCCTGGTGGAGGTGGAGGAGGAAGAATTTTGCCTCCAGGCGGCGGAGGAGGTGGAGCAAGAGCCATACCTCCCGGTGGAGGCGGAGGAACAAGCTTACCGCCCGGGGGAGGGGGAGGAGGTGGCATAGCATTTGTAGCAGCTTGATTGTCTTCTAGATTGAATACCTGTTCCCCTTCAACAACATCGGGGTCTTCAGCATCAAATCTGGGAACCTTGGAAGCAATCTCGCCTAGCAAGCCGGAAGTCTGGGCAGGGCTCAAACGAGGACGATGCATTTCCACCAGACGAGGCCTCTCGTACATTGGCTCGCCATTGCTATCCATCGGAATGTCCTCCTCGTCTTCCAGAGTTGAGTCCATCGTAGGGATATGGCTGCGCTTGCGGTAAACAGATCCAAGCGAACTAGTGTCGAGATTTCGGCGGGTAACTTCAGCGAAGTCCTCACTGTCATCTCCTTCGCCTTCCATTCTCTCGCGCAGCTCACGGAGGCGATCAGATGGCCCATGCTGGCCCCAGACCTTGCCCTCCAGCTTGAACTGCGTCTTAGTCCGCTCAAGCTGGCGTTCCAGACGTTCCATGAGTTTTTCGCGGTCCATGATACCGGGCATATGGGATGGGTCTGCTGCCTCCACCGTCTCAGGGTTGTTGACCTTCCGGGCATTGGAAGCGGCGATATCCTGGGCATCTCGGAGCATAAGGTATAGTTCTCGGGTTTCCAGCTCATTGCGCTGCAATTCCTGAGCACGCAGTCGTTGCACTTCTACAACCTCAGCCTTGAAGGATTCATTTTGCCTTTGTTGCAGCTCGATAATACCAGCCTGTTCATCAATTTGCTTCTGCAATTTCAAGACCAAGCCGTCTGCGCCGAGCTCGACCTGCGCTCGCATCTCATCACGCTCAGCAATGGCAGCCTCGGCGATCTGCCGGGCCTCGAGAGACTCGTCATAGACCCGTCTTGCCTCAGCATCGGTGTGCAGCCGATCTAGCAGACTCTGTACGGTGAAGGTAAGACCCTGCCGAAGATCAAGATCAGGCAGCCTTCGGTCCATGGCCACGTAGCTCAGCATGGCATCCACCAACTGGAACATTCGCAGCCCTTCCTCACCGGAGTTCTCCCGGATGAGAAGCATATGTTGCATAGCCGAGAGGAAGTAGTCGTGGGACCTGCTGCCGTTGATCTTGGAAGTGATTGCATCGACAATTTGCATGGGATCGCTCATGTCCTTGACTTCGCCTTCTATGCTATCCTTCATGCTACTGCCTTCCCGCTGGAGGAGGTCCTCGTAATCGATGGCCTCATTCTCGCGGAAACGCTCAATTTGCTTGTCGATAACCTCATACTGGAATCCCTCCATCTTCGTCAACAGACGCTTAATTCCACATGATGTGAATTGGGCGCGGATGTGACAGCGCAGCTGCAAGTCTGTTTCTGCTCCGTCCACCAGCATATTGATGAGGATCATGGTTGAGACCGCATACTCCATGAGGAGGTTTTCCATTCCAATGCCTCCGCTGCGGTACTCTTCGCTCGCACCGACCAGACTTCCCATCTTTCCACGGCCGTCAACTGTCACCTCGACAATACGCATCCAAGCATCGAAGCGACCAGTTTCATTGTGATCATGTTTGACCTTGTCCATGGCTTGCAGGACTTTTTGGTGGCCTTGTCCATCACCCCAGTGGCACAAGAACGTGAGGACCTCGCTGACAAGTTTCCGAGTATTCAGGCGTGGCGATGATAACGAGGTGACAAGGGCAACTAGCACATTTTGATGCTCTAGAGCGTCGTCTGCGCCATACTTGTTGTTCATCAGACCTTTCAAACATTTGGCAATATCGTATTCCCGGTCTAAATCTTTATCGCCTGTAGGAGGAGCTGGAACAGGGCCGGAGACTTTTCTTCTGTTGATTTTTAAGAGGACATTGGTCAAAGCGATTTGACCTTGGGCTTCTACAAAGGCCTTCACCCAGCTGTGTAGTTATTAGTGATATGCACATGACATCGAGAAAAAGGGTAGTTCATACCTGATTGGCTGTGTCCTCAAGCTGACGCTCAAACTAGCAAGCTGCTTGGACGTAATGGTGTCATCCATCACCTTCTTCACGTACCACTCCGGGCTACCTTCTTCATCAGCACGTTCAAGCAGCCCAGATAACCCGTCATGACCATGGGTTTGTCGCGCATTTAGTCGTCTTTTTTGCTCTCCTTGCAACTCTGTTAAGCGATCCTGATGTACCAATGTCCATTTCTTTGAAGCGGGGTATGACAACATCTGCCGTTTGGCCTGTTCGGGAAGGTTCTGCCATCCTCGCTTCTGCATCAGCTCTAGAAACAACTGGTCCACAATGCGGTCATCTCTCGGTCGAGTGAGGTAGTTATCTGATGGCCGGGGAACAGCAGCTGGTACAGAGTTCTGGTGGGAAGATCCGGCATTTGACAAGCGGCCCGAACTAGAGCTGGGGAACATGACACGGTCACCAGAATTCGAGGTTGTGAGAGTGCGCGAGGAATTGTCCGAGGAGTAGTAGCTCGAACCGCGCGTGTTAGAAGAAACGGAGGAGTAGATGCTGGCTTGGTCGAGGGAGGTGCGGGAGTTGGAAGACGAATCAATAGAAGAGTTGTGGTTAGGCCCACTGCTCGCTGCGGAGCTACCTGGCCGCCCCCATTGTTGCTGTCTTGCACCTCGATCGCCGGAGTTGCTGCTGCTCAGGTTGCTGTTTGAGGTGTGCGGGGGCGGACGGGGGCCAGTGGGATGTGAGTTGTACCCATTTGGCGCAGACGTAGAGGTCACAGTTGGATATTGATGAAAATCACCTCCAGATTTTCCAATATGGTGGGGCGAAGGCTCATGGCGCGATGAGCCAGGGCGGGACATGTTGTCGATTGGAATCGGGGTCCTGGTATCGGTGGGGAGACTTTCAAAGGGAATGGAGGTGATGACGCCTGAGGTGTGCGCGATACTGCTTGGGTCCAAATCATGGGTCATGTCAACAGATTGAATCGAAGACCGCTTTGAATAGCGGGACGAGCGTGAGCCCGCGGCGCTTCCCGGAGGTGCCAGGCTATCGTAAGAACCTCCATAATTATCATATCGTTCCTCGGCTGGCTTCTCTTTGTGCAACTTCCGTCCGAAGAATGACTTTCCACTCGATGTTTGCCTGGATTTGTCGGCTTGTGAACTGGTTGGCATTTTGGCGGGCGTCACTAAGATGAGGCCGGGCGCAGCATAAGGGCCCCTCCAACACTCTTAGAAACGGTATTAGATAGAGATGTTTGTTGTCGCAATAAGGCGCTGTCGATCGCAAATGATATGGGCGAAAGACGATGACATTCAAATTGGGCGAAAATGGCTCTCTTTTTTGTCCCTCCCTGGCTAGTTAGTATACCCGTTGCTACAGCGGAGTCGCGAGAGACGAGGGGTAAGCGGATTTCTTCGCGGCACTCACCCCACTAGGAAAGCAAAATAGGAGAAAAGGAAATTAACATGTAAGCCTTTTTGCAAATGTCAAGACCAGTTTGACGCCAGGATCAAAGCCCGAGCGTTCTTCTAATCAGTCCTCTTGATATTAGGGGGCTTCCCCCGGAGAAACTCCCCGACCGCGCACGTGATCGTTAGGATCACGTAAGCTTATACTTGAAAGACATCCACCGAAGCATAGACTTGGAATGAACGAAGTTTCGAAGAGACAATCTGATAAAAGACCCATTGTTGAAATTGAGCATATATACTCATATCCTCAATCATATATCAGTGTTATTTGAAGAATAATCACTATGTGGTCCCGAATTAGAGTTATGAGACAGATCAATACAAACTGAACACCTGCTCCATGAATATGCTTGCGTTTCAGGGTATAATAAATCTGTCAAGTGGCAATGATCGGGATGTGATGAAGGCCACGAGGAATGGTGACAAGTAGCCATGGCTTGAGCGATCATAGAAGGCAAGGGATATATTCTCCGAAATTTGATTCTTTATGTGGTATGTATGTACCCCATTTATTCATTAAATATACTTCATTTGGAATGTGGCATACTAGATCTTGTTTGAATAGTTTAAAAAGTGGTTTGAAATCCATACCAATGAGATATATATTACAAAAAGAGGGTGCAACTAAGGAGTCGAAACACTCAAGTGAATCCGTAGTCTGTGGAAGGGGAAAAGAGCTGTACCGAAGAAATAGAAAATTAAGGACTAATTCACTCGAGAGAAAGTTATTACGGAGTACTGTGGGCATCAGCAGGGTCAAAGCTACTCTATCTGCTGTTGATCATTCATATCAGCAAGTGATGAGTGGAGGGACTAAACCGGAAAGACGAAAGACATGAGAAGCTCTCAGAGCTCCTACATGCCTAGGAATCAGTCACTGTTTGTAATAATCTCCCGAGGTCATATCAGCCCTAGGGATATGTACATGTAGCGGCCCCTGAGACTAGATAGACTCGCTGTCCAATCCAAATCTTCCAATACTATGCTACAGTTAGAGCGCCTTATGGACTAGGCCATGATACAGATACAGTGGCCATTCACATACATGTAGCCTATGTAGTTTCATATACAAAACCGATGCTATTTCGGGTAACAAGTGATGTGATATTGTGCCCTATATAAAAGAGTATTCCAAACCAAAGTGTAAATTCCGATATCCCGAGTGGCCGGTGCTTTGTCGATCTGCCGATCCTGCCGCGTGTGCCTTCATTTACCCGTGGAACCCCGGACCTCGCTCCGCAATCTTTCGCGCGCCCGAACCTCACCACTCTACCACCTCTTTTAGGCGCAGAGCGTAATCCTACAACACCCAGCATGACATCAGCGGGTGTCTTTGCCAAGGTAAGCGCAAAACCTCCTATCCCGACGCGCAAGACATGCAAACCACCGTTATGCCCAGCAGAATCACACTCCATGCCCAAGACCAAGATCAAAAAAAAACACTGAACTAATAAGCCCACTTATACACACACAGACAATCCTCATCCCAGCCTCAATCGCACTATCAATCTACATTCTAGTCACATGTCTGATAATCCCCTTCTTCCGCCGCTACCACCAACGTTATTCGCAATACCTCCCCCTACAAACTATATCCGCGCACACATTATCCCTACGCGACCGCATAGCCGATAAATTGATGTACCTCTTCCTTCCATCTCGGTGGAGGTGGGGCGCGCGCACAGCCGATCACGATACGATCAGTATTGACGATGAGGAAGGAGAGGTGTTGGTTAGGATGAATAGGGATTCTGTAAGGCGGGGTGCGCTGGAAGAACGGAGACATGATAACCTGGAGGAGACACAGAGTCGTCTGGGTCGGGATTTGGAGGAGGGATTTATGGATGATAGTGATGATGAGAGGCGTGAAGGGCGTGGAAATGGACAGCAAGTAAGGCTTTGAAATTTTGAATACGGTGTTCGCAAATACATACATATCTGCATTCTTGGGATAGAGTTTTTGTCTAGGGATGTTTTGCAAGCAAGCCTGATGATCTAGGTTTGTTGTTTGTCCAATTTTGAAAACATGGCTACTTTGTAAATAGAGTTGTTTTGTCCTTTTGTTATTGCAATTGCATGTAGCGGGACTTCATTTATGGAAACAATCCATATAAAGTTATATCGGGAAGTATATTCCTACCAATAATACTTGATATTCAAGAATGTCTAAAAAAAAAAGACAACTCTACATGTTCTAGACTCCACCAAAGGGCTGGGCTCAATTAGTCTGGCGAGATCGACATAGCTCCACAGATCATCATGCACAACTCTGCATATTATACTCTATATGGAGTATAGAAATCTTAAATGCAAGTCAAGGTGGAAAAAAAAGTAAAGGTTATAAATATTATTCATTGGTATCGTGAAAGATGCTACCTTTTCCAGCATCGCCCATGCCATCCTGAGCAAATGGGACTGTTATGAACATAAAAAGCACAAAATATGAAAAGAAGTCTCTCAACCGGAGAATACTTCACACTTCGTCATGCAAGGACACTTTCTACTTGCGCTGACCGTAGGCCTTGGTGGCGTAATCACCCTTGTGGACGATCAAGTCCTCAGGGCGGTAGTCCTCACGGCCAGAGAAGTAGCTCTCGAGAATGTTCTTGGTACCGTTGGCGTAGCGGACCTGAGCGTCGATGGAGGTACCGGACATGTGGGGAACCATGGCGTTGCCGCCACCCCAGGGGTGCTCGGCGTAGCGGAGAGGGTGGTCCTTGGGGGCGGGCTGGGGGAACCAGACATCACCACCGTAGCCACGGAGGTGGCCAGACTTGAGGGCCTCAGCGACATCCTCCTTGACGACGATGGCACCGCGGGCGGTGTTAACGAGCCAAGCACCGGGCTTCATCTTGGAGATGAGGTCCTTGTTGAAGAGACCGCGGGTCTTCTCGTGCAGGGGGCAGTTAATGGTGACAACGTCACACTGGGCGAGCATCTCCTCGAGATCATCGACGCGACGGCAGCCGATCTCCTTCTCGGCCTCGGGGGAAAGAGGCTGGTAATCGTAGTAGAGGAGCTCCTTGCAGTCGAAGGGCTTGAGGCGGCGGAGGACACGCTCACCGATACGGCCGACAGCGACGGTACCGACAACCTTACCCTCAAGATCGAACTCGTTCTTGGCGACGGCAGCGACATCCCAGTCACCGTTCTTGATCTGCTCGTGGGCAGGGACGAAGTTTCGGACGAGGAGAAGGATGGTCATGACGACGTGCTCAGCGACGGAGACGACGTTGGAGCCAGTGACCTCAGCAACAGTGATACCGCCATTGGTGGTGTTGGCGGCGTTCAGGTCAACGTGATCAGAACCAATACCGGCAGTGACAGCGAGCTTGAGCTTCTTGGCCTTGGCCAGACGCTCAGCGGTAAGGTAGCCGGGGTGGAAGCTGTTTTAGGGTTAGTGCAGGTCTTTTTGAAAGTCTATGCATGAGAAACGAACGGAGTAGTGATAATGACTTCAGCATCGACGAGCTCCTTGTCGAAAGTGGAGTTCTCGCCCTCCTTGTCGGAGGTAGTAACTAGGGTGTGACCCTGGTCCTCGAGCCACTTGCGGATGCCGAGCTCGTTCTCAGTGGTACCGAGCAGCTTAGGCTGCTGCTTGGAGTGCTCACCACCCTATATCACAGAAAAGACCAGGTCAGCGAATTGATGTATGCAAAGTATGCAATAAGAATGACTTACATCGTAGAGAACCAAAAGAACTTTGCCCTGAAGATTGGCAGTTGCTGTTAGTGTACGTGCACCGGAAATAGAGCCAGCCCGAGTGAATGGGCTGGAGGTGATAGTTGGCTTGAGAGAGCTTGAGAGGAAGGGCCGTCGCAATTGACGGGAAAGAGAGCGGATAAATACCATTGTGAAGGTTTATGAAATATTTTTCAAGAAGTCGCTAGAAAAAGGGTCAGCACTCTGTTATAGATGTATACTCGATGAGGTCAACGCCCAGGAACGGCGTTGGAGAATACCGGATGAGGCAAGGTCTCGGTAAAGTGGGGAATGTTGCATGCCAGATGTGACCTGACTAGCTACATAGGGAAATAAGGAAGAAGGGGATAAAAGATCGACTTACAGGTAGAGTAGAAAGGATGAGAATAGGCGATAGTTGGATAGAATGAGGGAAAAAAGAAATCATCCGAACAGCAAATGGAGCTGATTATATATAGCCCCCTCTCTACGGAGTACAAGGAGAGGTATTGCGCATCCCCTCAAAATAGGGACGCATAGGAACGGGAGAGCCGGGCTGGGAGTCCACTTGGAGATCTCTCCGCACGAGGGACAGGGGCAATACTTTGTGACTACATTTGTTTCAACAATTTATGGCCTATCATTTGTGGACTTGGACAACTTGCCATGTATCCACATGTATATTATTGTACTTTATACATTTTATTTGTATAATACTATGACCTGGTGTACTATACAAGCTCAACCTTGGAAAGCTCTAAAGGAATGAACGTACGGGGGTACTTCTGCAAGTCTTAGTATACAGTTACCTTAAGTATATACAATCGTAGCTAATACTAAATTACGTTGCCTATATTTTACATAGCAACATCTCCTGCTATACGGAGTACAAAGATAATATTATAAATTGCTAACAAGTATTCCCAACATCTTACATTCCCCCAACTCATATCAGCCCACCAAAAATTGTCCAACGCTATATTACCCCTCAGGCGGGGTAACTCCAGGGGATATAATTAGCTGACATAATGAGGGGTAAAATCAAACTACCCTTGCAAGGTTGGAACTATACAAGCATAATGCAACCATCCCAATTAATCAATTGCTACAATGATTAGCGTCTCCAACATGCCAGCTCATCTCCAATCTCTCACAAGGTACTAAAACAATCCAAGTTCTCCTGCCTAGTTCTCCTTCTAAGCCATACCGAGCAATTTCCGCCCTTCTGCCGAAATTCGGCCTCCGTATCACCTTCTCCAATTCCGGCCCCGCTACTTCGTACTCCGTACAGAGCCCATTATGTATATTGCCTCCTCGCGAGGAGGTTTTGGAGAAACATCCGCACTGGATCCACTAATAATCAAGGTTCCGGATCAGATCATAAACAAGATCATGGAAACCATGACGCTATTCAGAGCGGAATCGAGCATGGACTTTTTTTTTTTCTAAATCCACCATATCCCTAGGCTTTTGACACAAAATATTTATCTTTCGCTACGCGTTCGTTCGCGTTTGCTGGACTGCAGCTCAATTGGGACAACTGCAATGCACATGATGTTTCGATTGTGATTGCTCCCCGGTCGGACATTGGATTGGATTGCTGCGACGTGGTGTTGGGTGTCGAATATGAATAATGACTAGAGAACCGTCGAACTTCTGTCCAACAAAACTAATGTTATAGTTACGAGCCCCTCTCCGATCGCAAGAAAAGACTGTACATTATTGTACTTTCGCGCGGAAACCTCACATACGATATACTACTAGCTACCGTTCCAACACACCGTCGATCCCACAATTACATCCTCGAATTTTGACCCATATAACCGATCAGAATTTTCGCTATCAAGTTTCGATAGAAGCTACATGTGTGATGTGTTGGTACTCTCGGAGCTTCGGCGCATATCATATTATCGCATGACCAGTGCGGGGACCCCGCTGTTCGATTCGATTAGTCGCTCAAACTTCCATGTTTCCGTGCGCTGTCGCAAGCAACAATATGGAATACCGGAATGATCTCTTTTCAAAATCGGAGAGTCTGCAGTCTTTAGAGCTTCAAAATTGTTCATGTGTAACCATCCATTGACATCTCTGCCATATTTAACGCGTCCCAGTCAAATCCAAGCGAAAAGGTCTACTAACTGATGGATTGCCTCAACAAAAAACCTCATCCTAAGCCCCGCCATTCGCAAGAGTAACCGTAAGCCCATTACCTGCATTCATATTTCTGTGCCATCTCGGTCCCTGGGGTTCGCAAAGGGTCGCACCAATGCCAAATTTTACCAATTCTTGAGGGGTCTTTATATTCCTCGAACGCGAGAATTCCTAAAAGTTGTCGGTCGATTTATTGGAGGGATTCCGATCGGCAGTTGTGATGGGGATGATTGGGAATATTGTGATCATAAACTGCATGTTATGAAATGACTTTTTGAGCCCCAATTTGAAACTGTGACCTCGGGGATTGGGTACCTATGTTGACAACTACATATATAAAAACCACTGCAATGCACCGAAGAAAGCACGGCGACTTTCTGTCCAAATATTCCTTTACTAGGGATCATCTACGGGGTTCTTCATCCTTTAAAACAAATATTCTAGGTTTCAATGTCTCTAAAGCTTACACAAAGTATTGGGAAAGCCTTCCTATTTCAGAAGTATATTTCCCCCCAGACTGGCTACAACTCTCATCCTTAACAAATTTTGGAATTGGTATTTATTATTCCTTTACGGAATATATGTCTACGCATTCCTATTTCTGTTTTTAGCTATCTTCTCCAAAGGAAAACCAAGCCAACTAAATGCTCAGAACTATAGTTAATAGTTGTTATGTATGATCTACTGCGTACAGATTAGACGAATCAACGGCGGGGATTGATAATCTCCGTTCCCAATCTCCGTCTCCGACTCGGCACTCGGACATTCACGCCTCTTTTATTACCTGGAATCTTTTTTTTTCCCCTTTCATTTGTCTACCTTCAACTCCCTACCAATTTATCCAAGGTCAGAAGTGATGCGGCCAATACTCACGCAGTCGCTCACACGTGCCTGGACCGGGCGACCCTATCGAAACTGCCAGACAATTCGCCTATTGTCTAGTACTCCTCAACGCAGCAGCCGGCTGCGCGCGCGCCTGGAAATCCCTCCTCCCTTTCCCGTTATCAAGACATGCCCTGAACCAAGCTGCAATTGTCCGCCCACGCCTGCGTTGCCCGAGGATTTACCAATCGATCATGAACAACCCTTAAATGGGACAATGGCTGCCTACGCGCAGCAGCTTCTCATCTGCACAGGACAGCCAGACTGGACAAGTCGCATTGAGGATGACGGCGAAAACAAAGGCTGGGGCAATCTTGTGAGAGGACTGAAGAGCCTGCTAGGTCGTGGCGGGCCATATCTGGATGTAAGTGGATCGTATAACCCGATAATGAATGCGCGAACTCTTGCTGATTTGAGATCTCATCACTTTAGCCTTTCAACAATGTCTTGATCACAAATTCATCTATCGCACCAGCTGCAAGCTCCTCCCCCGCCTCCGCCTCCGCATTCCTCTTCCCTAGCTTTAAATACATCCCTTCAATACCTGCGAACACGGCCTCATCGCCCGGCCAAACAACCGACCTGACAACCTTCGTACGCGCATATCTTCTTCCCGAAAAACTCCACGACATGCACTCCTCTCTCCCCGCAAGCAAGCAAGCAGATATGACCCGATCACCGGACCTAGCATCAAACTTCCCGGGAGTAATCGACATCAACCACTCTCCGACAGTGTTAATATGCGGACATGGAGGTCGTGACATGCGCTGCGGTATCATGGCCCCCGCCTTGGAAAGCGAGTTCAAGCGCGTGTTGCAAGTGCGAGGATTCACCTCCGCGGGCAGTGATGGAACCACGGTGGATGGCCCCAACCATGCCAATATTGGCCTGATCAGTCATGTTGGAGGACACAAATATGCAGGCAATGTGATTGTGTATATCCCGCCGAAGATGACATTCGGAACTTCTTCAGAGCCTCACCCGCTGGCGGGTAAGGGGATTTGGTACGGCCGTATTGAACCTAAGCACGTGGAGGGGATTGTCGAGGAGACTATTCTCGGCGGGAAAGTTGTCACGGATCATTTCCGGGGTGGTATTGATAGGAATGGTGATATTTTGAGGATATAGACTTGGGATAGAGTATAGTGTACGATACAGTGATTTGCAACATGTCTTGGCCCTTGTGGGATGACTCAAGAGAGATGCGCATGCTTTTCGCCACAGCTGCATCGCACTGCTCAAGTTGAGATTGGAATATGAAACGTCTCACATACCAAAAGCGCGGTTGGCTAGGAAAGCGGAGATCTCATGGCACAAATGTTTACGGCTCAAACCTACACTACGAAATATTGGAGACTCCACCCACATGGATTGACGAGCATCGTATCATTCAAGCTCTTATCAAACCAGTTCTTTTCCCAGTGGTTGGTATATATGAAAAACTCGTGAAACCAGATCGCCTGTCTGATAATGCCGCCGTATCGCTCGCCCTCACCTACCTGAAAAAAGGTGATTTACTGCAATTCTGGAAGGACTTTGAAGGAATATAGACCTACGAAGTACGAGAAGCGCTGCCTTACCGCAACACGGGACTTGAACAGTTGATATCGGTGCTTGAGTGGTTAGAAAAATGTCGGCCGTTCTACACATACAAATGAAAGTCAATAAATGACTTTCATAGTCTGTTATTCGGAGTACTATATGTCAATATCGCGCGACAAGAGCGAAATCCCCGACTACTTATTCAATGTAGCGATGCCAGGCCTTAAATGGGCACAAGAGTGCGAGCCTGTTCCCCAATCTCGCATCCAAGAATTTGGACTTTATGGAAGGTTCCGGAAGTTTGGTGTATACTGCTGGGGTTTGGAAACAACGATCGGTCTTGGGCTCAAAAAAAAAAAGATGGCGGGTGATAGGGCCAAGTCTACACACTACCTACGTGGTGCACATATGTATTCACTGAGCATGAAAAACATTGCCAAAAAAAAAATCAAATTCCCCACAAATACCAAAAGACCTCGGCATATCCATAACGTCCAGAAATATGTCCAACAAGAATATTTAGGTATAGTTAGCCGCTTCCAAATGCAGCCTTAGTAAGATAAAAATTTTGGCTGTCTTCCGAGATGTCTTTGCAGATGTCTCCTTAGTCGTAAATTTATTTTTAGACATTGCTACCCTTTATTAGTGCTATAGCTAGGACAATAAGAATTAGCCGTAAGATATAGGATAGCATTCATATATATATAGGTATAAAAACGGCTTAAAATAATATTTGAAGTATAGTGATGATACGCTAGTCTTAATCGGGGCTAAAGCTACCCGGGCTCCGGGGAAGTTTTGAAGATGTGCAATGGAACTTGGAAGTAAGAGCTCCAAGTCGCGGACATGACCAATCCCTCCAATCTCTAAAAATTCCACACACATAATGATCAGCCGGACACTATGCAATCCCTCTCACGACTCCGATTAACCAGCGCCGTCGCGCCTGGCCGCATTTACACGCGTCCAACCCTACGAGCCCTCTCACCAGTCTACACCCTAACCCGACTAGCCAGCACCTCAACCCGCCGACTGGACCTCCCCGCCCTCGACAAAAAATGGCAAGCGAAATGGGAAAGCGACCGCGCAGCGCCGCAATCAACACCTGACGAAACACAGAAACCCAAATCCTACATCTTGTCCATGTTCCCATATCCGTCCGGCACGCTGCACATGGGCCATTTGCGCGTGTACACGATCTCAGATGTGATCTCGCGGTTTTATAAAATGCGCGGACATAACGTGCTTCATCCTATGGGGTGGGATGCTTTTGGGCTGCCGGCGGAGAATGCGGCGATTGAGAGGGGTATAGATCCTGCGGTGTGGACGCAGGAGAATATTTCGAAGATGAAGGAGCAGTTGAGGTGTATTTCGGCGGAGTTTGATTGGGATCGGGTATGTTGGTGTGGATTTTTTATATTTGAGTTGGTCGTGGGTTGGATGGCTAATTGATACTTATGGATAGGAACTGGCTACATGTTCCCCGGACTTCTATGAGCATACTCAGCGCATCTTTCTGATGTTGTATAAGAAGAATTTGGCGTACCAGGCGGAAGCGTTGGTTAATTACGACCCTGTTGATAAGACCGTTTTGGCAAATGAACAGGTGAGTCTGGATCAGATGGTAAATTTTGATTTGATCTAATTTTTACTCAGGTCGATGCCAATGGATTCTCGTGGAGATCTGGGGCTAAAGTTGAGAAGTTGAACTTGAAGCAGTGGTTCTTCAAGATCACTGATTTCAAGGAAGCGCTTCTGAAAGACCTTGATTCTCTTGCCGGCGGATGGCCGGAGCGTGTATTGTCGATGCAACGCAATTGGCTTGGAAAGTCTTCTGGTGCTAAGGTCACATTCCCTGTAACCATTGGACACGCGAATGACCAAGTCAATGTGAATGTATTTACTACCCGCCCAGACACTTTGTATGGTGTGGAGTATCTGGCACTTTCTTTGAATCACCCTATTGTGTTGAAGGCTGCTGAGAAAGACGCGGCACTTCGCAAATTCCTGAGTGATTCATCTTCACTTGCACCAGACTCCAAGGCAGGATACCGGCTATCTGATATTGAGGTGTCTAATCCATTGTGCAAAATCGATACAGAAACCCCCCATTTACAGAGGAAGCTTCCTGTATTTGTGGCTCCCTACGTCCTTAGCGATTACGGCGAGGGAGCAGTCATGGGTGTTCCGGGACATGACACCAGGGATATGTCGTTCTTCAAGGAAAATGTGAACCCCGACTCAATTCCTGTTGTTATCGAGGCCGAGCCAAGTGGCAATGAGACAAACAGCAGTGTTGTCGCGACGTTAAACGCAAAAGCTTTCACCTCCGAGGGCTTCCTGACCTCGCGATGTGGAAAGTACCAAGGATTACTCTCGAAGGAGGCATCAAAACTGATTGTTAATGACCTAGAGCAAGTTGGTCAGGCTGCGTTCGTCGAGAGCTGGCGCCTGCGGGATTGGTTAATCAGTCGCCAGCGATACTGGGGTGCGCCAATCCCCATCATCCACTGCGGGGACTGTGGTCCTGTGCCGGTGCCTGATAAGGATCTTCCAGTAAAGCTGCCGAAAATCGAGGGAGAGTGGCTCAAGGGAAAGAAGGGGAACCCTCTTGAATCCTCTGAGGAATGGGTCCACACAAAATGCCCCAGTTGCAATGGTCCCGCCCGACGCGACACAGACACCATGGACACCTTCGTGGACTCATCCTGGTACTTCTTGCGATTCTTGGACCCTGCTAACAAGGGAGCCCCGTTCTCTCCTGCAGCTATGCAGCCGGTGGATGTGTACATTGGTGGCGTCGAGCATGCAATTCTGCATCTTCTCTATGCTCGATTTATCTACAAATTCCTCTCTCAGCCAGAGATGCTCCCAGCTAGTAACTCTGCTGCACCAGCAGAACCATTCAAAATACTTCTCAGCCAGGGCATGGTTCACGGAAAGACTCTCACTGAGCCTTCGACAGGCCGCTTCCTGCTCCCGTCCGAAGTCGATCTGACCAACCCAGACAAGCCTTTGATAAAGGGAACAAAAGTCGCCCCTAATATTTCTTTCGAAAAGATGTCCAAGAGCAAGTACAACGGCGTGGACCCTACCCTTACCACATCAAAGTACGGCGCTGACGCTACTCGCGCACACATCCTGTTCTCCGCACCAGTGAGCGAAGTTCTAGAATGGGACGAAGCCAAGGTCGTCGGTGTTGAGCGCTGGTTCGGCCGACTCTGGAAACTCGTCCAAGATACCCAGCAGGCCCTAGCGGAGGCATCATTCTCCGTCTCGGAAGCAGCTCTAAAATCCTCTACCACCCACGCCGCTCCCCTCCCATCTTCACTTCAGGACCTGAGCGACTCCGACGCAGACGCAGTCCTAGCCACCCACAACACGATCGCATCCGTCACCACTTGCATCGAAAGCAACCCCTACGGTCTGAACACAGTCATCTCAGACTTGACCAAGCTGACCAACACCCTATCCTCAACACCCGCCTCCACCCCTCTTATCCTCTACCTATCTGTCTCATCCCTCCTCCGTCTCCTAGCCCCCATCGCCCCAGCCTTAGCCTCTGAATCATGGGAAGTGCTGCATGAAACCACAAATACCACCTCTCCAACACCAGTGCCGTCAATCCTTTCATCCCCCTGGCCCAGCACCCTCCTCACACCCGACCAAGCCGAAGCCCTCTCCACTCGCGGCGGACAAACAGTCGCGGTCCAAATCAATGGAAAGCTTCGCTGTGCTGTGACAATCCCGCGCATGGAGTCTCAGTCGCCGCAGGGCAAGAGTGCTCCTTCGCAGGAAGAGCAGGATTGGATTGTCAGCCGAGTCTTGGAGACTGCTGAGGGGAAGTTGTGGCTTCAGGAGAAGAATGACTGGGAGAAGAGACGGCGGGTAATCGTCGTCAAGGGGGGTAAGCTTGTCAGTGTTGTTTTCTGATTTTCCCATTCTATATTCGATGTGGGATTTGTATCACTATCTTGAATAGACTTGTATATTATTTCTGGTAGATTGTATATGTACAAAGCTTTCTCCTCTCACTTTTTCCCCCTTTCTGGTTTGGCTATTTAGGAATAGGGGAAAGGAAAAACAAAAGTACCAAACGTGCTATCAAGTCTCAAGTTGACTCTAGCTTTCTCATTTTAGGACTCTTCTTCATAATTATACATCTGATCACACTCTTCTCGATTCTTTCGGTATAAGGATATTACGATCAAATCCGTCTGCAGCTTTAAATTATCCTACAGCTGTGCAATTCTCGAGTGCAGCCTGTTTTGTTCGGAAGTCGCTATAGCCATCAGGATGGTAATCTGAACGGAGGGCTTACTGGGGAAGAGAATCGTCTTTGAAATTGCAACAGGAAATTTCATTGTTTTTTTAAAGGCTTTCAAAGTGCTGGTGGTGGAATATTTTTGTAGTTATAGAAGGTTGAGCCTAGATATATATATATACAAAGAAGGGTTGACGGATTGGGTGTCAGATAACTAAATGATAATGAGAAGATGACCTAAATAGAACATATATACTTAGATACAGTCCAAAGTCTATAGTTTCTATTACAGTTATACACAGGTTATCTATCTACTGGAATCAGTCAGGAATCTGCCTTGCCTTGATGGTTTGTCTTCCATTTAGCATATAGGTTTTGGTTGTGAACACTGATATGCCGGATAAATGGTATAGAATTTGGGAATTAGCAAGAGAGCAATTATTCATATAGTGTACATCATTCATGAAAGTATAGTATATACACTGCTCCTCAAACTCCACGGGTATGGAGCCATGAAGTACGCGAGTCGTTCTGTGATAGAAACATCCAACCCCCGAAGAAGCTTCAGAGAGGGCCATACATTCCCACATAGGGAAAAACCCACACCTGGAAATATGCAGATCGGCTATCCTTGGAAGAGGCTCGCTGATCAGGTTTAGTTCAGTTTAGGTATCATATAAGACGGTGACAAAGTTTAACAAAATCATCCATTACCCAGTTCACTCCCTTCAGCCTGAGCAGACCTACCACGCCCACCTCCAACCGGTTGCGCCTCACCCATCGGGAAACTGAGATGCTTCCAATCTTCGATCTCCTCAATAATACACTTCAGCCGATCCCGTATACTCTCAACAGCATACGTCCCTAGAATCAGCCTCAGGGGCGGATAGGAGCAATGACCAAGCTCCCAGACCAAATATGCCGCCTTGACAGCACTAGCAGGCTGCTTATCACCCAACCACATGAGCATACGTCGCGCATGTGCCGCCGGCGACGTAGCCGTGTTATACGGTTCACTGGGCGGCTTAACCAAAAAATGGCCGTAGAGCGGTAACGGCGACGAGAGATGATGTTCGGAGGGGTTAATCTCCATTGCAGAGACCGAATTCAAATCCGTGATATCATCACGACGCATATGTCCCGGTTCAACAAGCGTACCCTTAATATTGAAACTATCCACCTCATACAGCATGCTCTCCATCAAGCCCTCGACGGCGTATTTGGACGCGCAGTAGGGTCCGAGGCCCGGCACGCCGAGCGCGCCAGATGTGGAGCTGAAGATGAGATATCTCCCTTCGCGACGCTGGCGGAAATGAGGCAACGATAGCTGGATCATGTTCAGGGTTCCGGTGAAGTTTGTTTCGAATTGGTTGCGGATGTCGAATTCATCCTGGTCTTCGCAGGCGCCGATCACGCCGTAGCCGGAGCAGTTTGCGATTATGTCGATTCGACCGAAGTGTGCTATTGTCTGGTCGATCACGCGCTTCACGGTCTCGCGCGCTCGTACGTCGCATAGGAGTCCGATGCAGTTCGCTGATTCGAGCTCTTTCATTGATGCGGGGCTGTTTTCGTATGTGCGTCCCACTGCTGCTACTCGGTCGTTGTTGGCAAGCGCGGTTTTTACTAAAGAGCGGCCCATGTGGCCGGTTGCACCGAAGATCTGGGGATATGGGTTAGCTAGTGTCTTGGGTGGTTTTGTTGCTGGGTGAGTGATTGTATACCAGCCATACGAGGGGTTTGGCGGGATTATGGGGACCGGGTGGATCGGTCGTTGAAGGGAGATGGAGACTTGGTTCGTGGGAAACTGGAGAGGAGGGCCCTCCTTTTGGGGATGTCTGCTCCATGATGTGGCTCGTAGATGAGGGGAGAAGAGGAAGATCAATGTTCTCCGCATTTGGGTCTCTCTACGGAGTGCAATAGCGACAATCGCGGAATAAATTGCCGTTAACTGTTATCTTTTCAGGGCTTATGAAATTGACTCTTAGTTGCAGGCGTTTACTTGATATGATGCTATTCAATTACTCATATACACTCTAAATAGACACAATTATCGTCCCACCTCCCGTCGCAGCCGTCCCGCAGCTGTCGTAGGTCCTGGTTCGGGCCAATTGCCCACTGCATCGTCAACCTCCTCCAAGAAGGTTGTACTGTTGTGAATAGAAGTGCCGCCTAGAACGACTCGCACACCTGGGGAGCTGGCATTGACCTGCGCTACCATCTTGGCCTCCTCATATGTGGTGCCGCCAACCATAAAGATGATGATGTCTTGCGGCTTGTCCCGCGTGTGTCCGCTGCCCTCGAGGAATGGGTACTGCAGTTCCTTTAGGCGGCCTTTGATGAGATTTTGGAGAGTCACTTCCAGTCGGGGGGAGTGTTGGGTGTAGACGTTCTCAACGCCTTTAAGACCCTTGAAGCGGTCTCTTGCACCGGAGAAGAATGATGTTGATTCAAAGAGGTCGGAGAACCCGCCTGCGACTGGTGGGGCTTGGAGGGAGTGGTGATAGGCGAGGAGCTTGGGGATAATATTTACGCGGTTAGATGAGACTTCGCCCGCTGTAACGAGGAGATCAAGGAGAATTGGCAGTGCGTTGTTAGGTTGCTTCTCATAGCGAAGAGCATAGAGAGCCACCAGGCGCAGCTTATTATCAGAGGGCACATTTGGCAGCGCAATGATTTGTTGTAGTGACTGGAGAAGAGTGAGTCCGTGAGCAAAGCATAATCAAGTTAACTTTTGAACATACCCTAAGATCATTTGAGTGGTTATCATTGCATGCCAAGCTCTGCTCCAACTCGCTCACGTCGAGAAGGGTATCCTCGCCAACGCGTCGACTAAGTTCACCTACCAGGGTAACGTGCTTGCTCACATTACCTGACAACTTGCGGAATTCAGGATAATCCTCCACAAATCGTTTCATGTCCGCAATGGACTCGATATTCGCAGTGCTTTGGGTTTTGGTTTGGTACTGCTCCACATATTCTTTAATGTTCTGGCCCAAATCACCAAAGTTCTGATACATATTCTTCTTGAAGAACGGGTCCTGGTCCTGAGCCAAAACAATCTCTTTCAGCTCTGGTCGGATATCTGGCACATCGTGCAGATCCACGCGGCCGTTGTTGATGCCAAGCATCTCGTGCACCATCGCCTGGTACGTCCATTGGGTCAGCAATGGGGTGATGGGGTCATCGCGGCGGTCAAGAACGAGCAAGATAGGCGGTGTATCCGTCCGGCGGAAGTTAAATAACTGCTCCTCCTGCGTGATGTGGTATCGGACCTCTGTCGCCAATTTCCGGGCCAATAGGCTGTTCTTCTCATAGCGGATAAGTGGGTTCTTCTTTAACGCGAGGAGTAGGGCCAAAACCCCCTCCGTAGCTCTTTGTAGTGAATCCGGGTTCCATAAGTCGGGCGACTGGCTCCATATCCTTTGCAATGGGAAACCCATACCTAACGAACAAAGGTCCGGGTTGATGACAAGGAAGTCGGCAAATTGCTCCTGGACGGACTGGACAACCTCATGGCTGTCCGCTTCCGCAAGCCGCTCGAGGGCAGATTTGCGGATAATGTTGCTAAGGTAGATGTAATATTCGCCGTATTTAGGCTCTCGAAGCTCATCGATCAAAAACTGAATAGAGGTGGGTGATGGTCGCACGAAACACAGGCATCGCAGATGTCGCATCTTCTCGCGCGCGGCATTGTCCAAACGGTCGATGAGGTAGACCTCGTGATTAAGGAGGGCGGATTGGGTAATGGCAGTCGAAACAATATGGACCTATAACAATAGGAGTTAGCGATCGAGATTAGTATATTGCTAGCAGGGTAAAATCACCTACTGTCTCACTATCAAGGAGCAAGATCTTCATCTTGGATGACGAAGCTCCCGACTCACCCCCGGTGACCATCTTGGAGATGTACCCCGAGGCGGCCGCGACGACGTCCATGGTGGGGAGGTCTTGGAAATAAACTTCAAGTGTATCCTAAATTAGCTCCTTGTTGAAGCTGTTGAAGCTGTTGAAGATCGAGGGGTTGAATGTGGAGATGGCGGGAAGTTGTTGGGGTGGAAATTCCACTTTCCACATGACGAGCTGTTTTTCTGGTCTTGGGCTTTTTTCTTCTTTTTTTTCCCTGGCTTTCTTCTTCTTTTCTTCCCTATAATCTTTTCTTCTTCATCGTCTTCTTCTTTTCTGTTTTGTCTGTTTTATTCTCCTTCTACAAGGTCAACAATGTTGCCCTATGTAGATCAGAGTATGTTGTTGCTCCCCTCATACAAACTACTTAAGCTCTTCAGTCCGATTAACAATTCTCCCCGCAGTATTTGAGGTGCCAGCTCGACTCACTGGCGCATCGATCGATGAACGTACGATCTTCCATTTCCAGCTCCCGATATTGCTAGCAGTTTCTGACACCCAGCTCCAGTCAAGTTGATCGGCTCGTTCCTCATCTCCTACCCACTGGCCGCCCTCCTCAAACGTATCCCTGACGGCCAACCCTGGAAGAAGAATGCCTTCATTATTGCCGTGTCGTTGTTCTATATTGTCGGACTCTTCGACCTCTGGGATGGTCTACGCACCCTACTATACAGTTCCGCGGCCACCTATGCAATCGCCTACTACGTGGATGGATCACTGATGCCATGGATTGGGTTCCTTTTCCTCATGGGTCACATGTCGGTTAACCATATTGAACGTCAGATGGCGAACGATAGTGGCGCCGTTGACATTACTGGAGCGCAGATGGTCCTTGTCATGAAACTTACCTCGTTCTGCTGGAATGTTCATGACGGCCGTCTGCCCAAGGACCAACTCTCGGACGCGCAGAAGTACTCTGCTATTACGAAGTTCCCTAGTATTGTAGACTACCTGGGCTACGTCCTGTTCTTCCCTTCTCTCTTTGCCGGTCCTTCCTTTGAATATGTGGACTACCGCCGTTGGATCGACACTACGCTTTTCGAAGTTCCCCCCGGCACTGACCCATCAAAGGTGCCACCCACCCGAAAGAAGCGCAAGATCCCTCGCAGCGGAAGACCTGCCGCAATGAAGGCCGCCGTCGGACTGATCTGGATCTTCGCCTTCATTCAACTGAGCTCATACTTTACCATCGACTTTGTACTTTCGGACACGTTCTTGCAGTATTCCTTCCTGCGTCGCGTTTTCAACGTGCACATGCTCGGTTTCACCGCTCGCACTAAGTACTACGGCGTCTGGGCTCTGACCGAGGGTGCCTGTATCCTATCTGGCATGGGATACAACAGCTTCGACCCGAAAACAGGCAAGGTCTTCTGGAATCGACTGGAGAACGTTGATCCGTGGGCCATGGAGACGGCGCAGAACTCGCACGCTTACCTGGGTAACTGGAATAAGAACACCAACCACTGGCTGCGCAACTACGTCTACCTCCGCGTCACGCCCAAGGGCAAGAAACCTGGTTTCCGCGCCAGCATGGCTACTTTCGCCACCAGTGCCCTCTGGCACGGTTTCTACCCAGGATACTACATGACCTTCGTACTGGGCTCATTCATCCAGACTGTGGCAAAGAGTAAGCACCACCAAGATATCCTCATAATCCACCCTCCTTCCATAACTAACCATATAATAGACTTCCGTCGCTACGTGCGCCCCTTCTTCCTCACACCGGACGGCACCAAGCCAACAGCAAATAAGCGTTACTACGACATCCTCAGCTGGCTAGCAACACAGCTAACTCTCTCCTTTGCCGTTCTCCCCTTCATCATCCTCAACTTCGAGAAGTCCGTGGCTGTCTGGTCCCGCGTCTATTTCTACGGCATTGTCAACTGTGCCGTCTCACTAGTCGCCTTCGCTTCCTTCTCCCCGCTCAGAACCTACCTTGTCTCCCAGCTGAAGAGCCGCAACCGCCCCCATCTCGCTCGTACCGTTAGCGCCGAAGCCGTGCGCCCACCTGACCTCGGCTTGCCGGATGATCCCGAGCGTGACTTTGATGAGGCTGTTGCTGAGATCAAGGCTGAGATTGAGTCCCGCGGTAGACGGGGAAGTACGGTTAAGATGCCCACTGGTGAGGAGTTGAAGGCTGCCGTTGAGCAGAAGATTGGACGGAAGTTGTAGACTGTGGCAGTTTTGGCTAAGAACTGTATGAGTGGTAGATTCATTGACTCATTGATTCATTGGATAGTAGGGGGTTGAAGAGCCGCTTTGGATCGGCTTTTTTCGGGTTTCGGGTTTCGGGTTTGCTATAAAAATAATTAGGAAGGTTTCGTGGGTTTTATTCTATTTAATAGTGACTCGGTCGAGATTTGTCTCGTCTAGGTCTATGGATGTCTATAGATTGTGTCAGATGATTTGCTTTGCAGGGAATAGCAAGCTTTGATTCCGTTAAAATTACCTTGGTTAAATCAGAGAGAACAGTGAAGAAGTTAAGTATATCAATACAATTTTGATACAACGTAACATGCTAAATAGACGACAAGTAGAGAGCAAGTATGCGTATGAGTGTGCTTCAAAATCGAAATCAGATAAAACAAGCAAAATAACAATGAAAACATACATATGTATATCCATTACACGGATGTATAGCAGAAATGCAAACAAAGGCAGTCGCCATGCATAGAAATCACAAATATGAAGCCATAGACAAGAAGTCCGGAGGCAAATGTTGGAAAGCACAAAAAAATGTAAACAGAAGAGGATATTTATGTGCGTTGAAGTCGTGTAGTCATTCAGAAGAAATGTGCAATCAGAAAAGCAAAAAAAAGGGGGAGGCTGAATAGTCAACAGTCAAGAGAGAAGAGAGGAGACAAGGTCCAGATCACAGTAAGGAGAAAGTGTCTGCAGTATCAGTGCACAGCAAGGAGAGGAAAAAAAAGACCAGTCGACTGGTTGTTCAGGGAAGTCAATCCCCGAGAAAAGGAAAAGAAGAAAAAAAGCATCAAAGATGAGCAGTCTCAAATGATGTTGTTGAAAGAAAGTCCAAGTCGTAAGAGCGTAAAAAAGAAGAGATCGCAGTGAAACACAGTCCGTAGACGCTGTAAATAACCTTAAAAACCCGTGGTCGTCCCAATAACAGCCAGCACAATGATAACAATAACAATAACAACCCCAAGGGAAATCATCCATCGATTGAGATTCCTCCACCAGCGCGCATTGTCCCTCCTCCGCTGCTGCAAATTGACACACTGGGCCTCAAGCGCCGCATTAACATCCGAGCCGGACTCATATTCGGCCATCTGCAACATCTTAGGTTTGGGTGGCAGCGGCATGAACGCCGCGACACACCACGCAGGTGGGAAAATGAATCCCATGCAGAATGAATACACTTGAATATTGCGGCGGCCGAAGAAAGGCTCGTTGCGAGAGTCGAGTGATGGAGGCCGCCACCGGCTTGTCGAGCGTTGCAGAACACGTCGGTCCGGAATAAGATGCGGTGACCAGCTGTGTCGAAGGCGGTTGAGGTGATTACCGCTGAACTCGCCGTCTTCGGGTTGTGGGGAAGGAACCCAGTGGGCGCGTGGATCACGCGGGTCGCTTTCTATGCGGCGTTGGGGGACAGGTTTGCGTTGCGGGGAGGGGAGTTGACGTTCTGGAGAGCGGGGGCGGGGGATGTTGAGGGGGCCTGGGACGAGGTTGAAGACGCTTGAGTTTGAGGTTCCTGGGCGGGTGGATGGTGGACGTATAGAAGGTGGGCGGGTAGAAGGTGGGCGGGTAGCGTCCATCATGGAGAGTGTTGAGTTCAGGCCCAATGGTTCGCGTAGGTAGTAAACCTTTGCCCATGTTGGGAGGATGTTGAGGATTGTGCTTGATCCCGTGCCTGGGCGTTGGAGGCTGCGGGTGCTGTCGCTCCGCTTTGAGCCGGAGGAGACACTCTGGGAGAAGACTGGGCGGTTGGGGAGCTTGGTTAGGCTGTCGAGGCGCTCATCTTCACTATCGTTGGGAGAGTCCACGAGCCAGACGGAAGATCTGTTTGGTTCTCCTTTTAGGGCTGCTGGCGGCGGTGGGGTTGGCTCTGCCATTTCGCGGTCTGAGTCTGAGTCTGCGTGTCCAGCGAGATTGGATAATTCATCGGCAGACCAGATGGAGGAGACCGTTGATAGATGCGGGTTCCAGCGTCCTGATGCCAAGTGAGGATTGCAACGTCCGGATGCAGGGCCAGGGGAGAAGTCGCGTTCTGATGAAACTGATGTGCCAGCGCGGGAACTTGAAGACGATGGCACGCGAATACGTGGGTATTGAATAGGCACGCCATTGTCGATGGCTGCCTGCAAGTCAGAAGCAGAGCGGAGGCTGCGGGAAGAAGATGTTGCTGATTGAGAACGGCTGCCTGATGGTGCCCTGGATGATGAGCGGAACGAGGCTATGGACTGCGGGGGAGGGCTGGAGTGGAATGAGGCTATCGATTGCGTAGGCGGGCTGGAGTGGAATGATGGGGATCCATAGCTAGAGTGCTCGGATGAAGCCGGTTGGAAGGCGTTTTGGAACCAGGGTGTAGAGCCGACGTGCCTGACGACGGTTCCTCGTGAGTTATACGAGGAAAGCGAGTTCGTTCGCGGTTCTGATCCTGAGGATGCTGTATAGTGGTAGTTAATGCTTGAGTTATCCAGCATAACAAAGTTGGGACTTGACGGGGCCCCGATTTGTTCGATAATGGGGCTGGAATAGCCAGTCACGGACTCCGCAGAGGACTTGGGCGACATCGATGACTCCGAGACGACGGCTTTGATTGTTGGTGTTGTGGTCGGCAAGACCATCATCTCGTCATCCGAGTACTCAGCTTCTGAACTTTCCGACCCATAATCTGGTGCTTTCCCGGAGGGCAGCGAGGACTTGCTAGAAGATGGGTCATCATCCCATAACTGGGGAGGCGAGTTTCCGGTATCGACGGTGGAGGATACATCCCAGCTCTCACCAATTGAGTGATCTCTCGGGCTGTGGGGTGTCGGGTTGTTGAGGGTCGATGAAGAATATGTTGACGGTCCAACGTGGTGATCGGAGTAGCTGAAACCGGTGTCTGATATGTATTGTTGTTGTCTGCCGGGGAGAGGTAACAGAATCTGTTCGGGTTTGGTCGGGAATGGGGTCGCGGTGTACATATCAAGCTCTTCATTCGGCACCATTCGCAATGACTGGGATGGCGATCTTTCGTTTGAGTGAGAGGGTGTACGCTCATGTAATGCCCTTCGCGCGCGTGGCGAGGTCGACCGAGTGGTAAAAGACATTATTGGGACACACTTAGAGCATGGATCGAAAAAAGACGGGATAAAAGCAATGGTAAAAGCAGTTGGGAGATGTCAAATCAAAACGTGCTGTAAACAAGATGGGGTCAAAAGAGTGGAATTGTTCAATGTTGTTGTTTTTTCCAGGAATTCGAGGATTCGATGTAAGGAATGTGGTGCCCTTCAATATGAAGGGTTCTTCTATAGGCTGATGTTCATCAAAAAAAGAGCGTGGGTAGACGTGCAGAAGTTCGTCAATTAGTTCGTTTCAAACATCAGGGCCAAAAGAGTGACTGGCGGAAAAAACAACAATCATTAAAACGTTTCAAAACAAAAAAGGGCACAGAAAAGCACAGGAGTAAAAAGCACGAGAGAACTTGAGACACTTGAGGGAAGGGTGAAAAGCGAAGGGGGGAAGGAATTTTGTTGGCCAGCGGTGAGCGCCTAAGCAAGTGAGATTCGAGACCGTAGGGGGGTGATGCAGGCTGCATGGACTAGAGAACGTTGACACTCAGTGGCTCTTAACGATTGGTCTAGACGGGGTCAAGTTGAAGAGCAAAAGTACCGCGAGGATGTGACTGGGCAATTCTCTTTTTTTTTTCCTCTGTCGTTCTTCCGATGTATATGTATTTCCTGAAATCGTAGTGTGTTATCATCTTTAATATAAAAGATCCCCTTTAATGCGGAGTATCAAGTCAATTGAGGACTAGATGTGGTCCATGAGAACCACAATTGACTCCTTCAAACATATTTCCTCATTTAATCGAATGTTTTATGTGGATCCTGTGTGCGTTGTCTCTAATCCTGATGAACTGCCACTAGTTTTTAGTGCCGAACACCCCGAGCAGACCAGAACAATAATGATATGCTCGTTGCCAATAAATCATGTAACACTTTCATTAATTCCTCGTGATCGGAGAATATTACCACGATCCCTAGCATTGACTTACACTTAAAATTGGTAGGGGGATGACAGCTCATATCCCGACTTTGCACGGTCCACCAGTTCGAATCAGGTTTCTGAACTTTTAAGGGGCTATTAGGGGTGAAGATGAAACAGCCTTCATTATAAGTATATATATAGAACATTGAACGGAATATTCAATGTCAAATCTATATGTACGGAGCAAATATATGTACATAGATCCAAAAAAGAACAATCCTAACAGAATTCCCATTCTGTATCAATCTGTAACGAATGACAGTACAATACTGTATTATATCAATTCCAACTAATCATCGCCTTCACATTTGTATATTACCAGGAACAAAGAACCTCCCAAGGCTTCGCCTCCCCCATAAGAAAATCCATAAGACACATCCATAAATAGCTTCACCCCCCCCAAACCTGCAGATCATGGCGCCGGTAGGGATTATGGCTCGACTCAAAAGTCTATACTCCAAGCAGGGTGAGTCAGGGGAAATCCCTAAAAAAAGAAGGCCGAACATTGAACTAACGCGCCTCAGATGAACCTGCCCTGTCAGAACAGACGGTCGCTTTTCTGTCTGTATGTAGAAAGAACCCCTAGAAACACCAAAATGCACCAAAGAAAAAGAAAAAAAAAACATACTTCAGTCTACATCCTCGTACCTAACTGCCTATCCAGGTCATTCTCACCCTACTCTACGTGGTACCATTCTATCTCTCACCAGCAACCCGCCCATCCCCAACTCTCAGTCGCGATGCTCCATCCGTCATTCGCGCTCGCATCCGCGTTGTTACGAGCTCATGTATCGTGAGCTCTGTCTTCGTCCTCTGGCTCATCGTTGAGGAGGGTAATTCCTCCCTCGGCGCCGGCACCAGGCTCCTTGGATGGTGGCCCGTCGGCCTGCTGGAGACTATTCGCAGTCTTTTCCTAACTGCGATTCTCTTCGTTGGCCCGCTCTTCGAGCGTGGCATCGTCGAGGGCGAGTGGAAGTTCTGGTTTCGTCCTAGTAAGCTCTCTGAGAGTCTCGGTGGCTGGATTGGTTGGAGGAATTATGTTGCGGTATGCACATGCCCTTTTCTTTTCTTTTTTTCCCCCGCCCAATCTAATTTCTCCTAGGGCCCCTTCACAGAAGAAGTCATGTTCAGATCTGCGATGGTACCGCTGCATTTGCTAGCACACACCTCGCCGGGTCGAATCGTGTTCCTCGCACCGCTGTATTTCGGCATCGCGCATATTCACCACTTCTATGAGTTCCGTCTGACGCACCCAGACACGCCGGGTCTAGCCGCCCTGCTGCGGTCGCTTGTGCAGTTTGGATACACGACCATCTTCGGTTGGTATGCGACCTTTGTCTATTTGCGGACGGGATCGTTGCTGGCCGTTGTTCTCATCCATAGTTTCTGTAACTGGTGTGGATTGCCGCGCTTCTGGGGGCGTGTTGAGACCGGTGAGCCCATTCGTCCACGTGTGTTGAGGGGCAAGGAGGATTCCGATGATGGTGGGGTTGGGGTTCAGGATAGTGGTGAATTGGGTGTTGGGTGGACGGTCGCTTATTATATGCTTCTTGTTGCTGGGGCGCTTGGGTTTGCTCAGGGCTTGTGGCCTTTGACTGAGTCCTATAACGCTCTTGTTTCGTTTTCGGGAAACTCAAATTAGATTGGAAGCGGGCTTGGTGGTACATTTTGGTTTGCCTCCGGCGTCTGGCTGATATATTTGGTGTTCTGTTTATATCGTGTTGTGAACCAAACCTATATATGTAGAATAGCGTCTGGTGATACACGTTCTGTCTGTGTAGCATAGCTATACATATTATCACCTAACTTATTCCGCTATCAACCTCCTACGGGCATGGCCTGGTATTTACTTGCAACCATTTTAGCTTGAATGGTTGATTCTTGCCCATGAAATCCAAACTCTGTTGCAGATATTATGTACTTATCGTACAGCTCTAATTCAACATCCAATAAAGTGTGCCTCGGTACGGAGTATACATAATACATTTAGGTGAGTTGAAACATCCCAGACATACACCCCTGTATTGACACTCACTGTATGTAAGATATTTGAAAGGATCACGCGTATACCCGTGCTTTTAGATGCTCTACCCATCAGCGCTAGTTTGCACGAGACTTAATTTTAGTACATTTAACACGTTTGGCCAATGAGAAAGCAGACATAGATAAAAACAAGAGTAAGCTGAGGGCGACTGTATTCCCCTCTGTTGATTGAAGTGCCGACATCATATGAACATCGTTTTAGGCCAACAGCCGACCCCGCCGGCATTAATGCATCTGCATCGTGACAACAAATCCGGTATCCAGTTCTGAGTATCAGTTTCCCTTGCGTACAAACAAGAACAGTTGGTGGTTGGCCGTGTTTGTGGCTTTACCACGTCTTTTGATTAGTCTGTTTAGTTGTCCTTTGTTGAGATATTTTGCCCCCTATTGGTGTTGCAACTAAATTATAGGCGATAAAAAGCTTAAAATATGCTGAATGACAAATTACTTTGAAATATACACATCTACGGAGTACATATGCAATGATACAGAATGAGTGGCTTGAGTTCCATAGATCCTCGTTCGGTATCTCGGGGGCTCGGAGCGGGTCTCTTCACACCATCCGGGGTGTCCAAGTGCGCAGCATCCTGAGAATACTCATGGACAAATCGGCCTGTGTCACTCGAACTTAGTATGTGGCGATCCGAGACAGCCGTGATGGAGACTCTCACTGAGATATTTAAGCTGGCTGCATTGGCAAGGACTGCCCTAATTCACAAGTCCAATTCCACTCAGCCTATACACAACCTCCACCTACAAAGACAGATTCACAATGATAAATACTGAGCCTCACCTCTGCTTCCGGTCATTTGTCGAGGCCTTAAAGGCCGACAATGATCTGGTTGAGATCGACTCTCCGATTGACCCCAACCTCGAAGCGGCCGCCATTACTCGTCTAGTCTGTGAAACGGACGACAAGGCCCCGCTCTTCAACAACATCATTGGTGCCGAGAATGGTCTCTTCCGCATCATGGGTGCCCCTGCATCTCTTAGGAAGTCCCCGAAGGATCGCTATGGCCGACTTGCACGGCACTTGGGCCTGCCACCGACCGCATCTATGCGCGAAATCATTGACAAGATGCTCTCGGCTAGCACCATGGCTCCCATCCAGCCCAACATCGTGTCTACCGGTCCTTGCAAAGAGAACTTCATCGAAGAAAGCCATATTGATCTGACTAAGCTCCCTGCACCCATGATCCACCAGGCCGATGGAGGGAAGTACATCCAGACCTACGGAATGCAAATTATCCAATCCCCTGATGGATCTTGGACTAACTGGTCTATCACCCGCGCTATGATCTCGGACGATAGGCATCTGACCGGTCTAATTATTGAGCCTCAGCATAACTGGCAGATCCACCAGATGTGGAAGAAAGAAGGTCGCGATGCCCCGTGGGCTCTGGCATTCGGTGTTCCACCTGCTGCTATCATGGCCTCGAGCATGCCCATCCCCGACGGTGTGAGCGAGGCTGGATATGTTGGCGCCATGACTGGTTCCGCCTTGGATCTAGTCAAGTGCGATACTAACGATCTCTTCGTGCCTGCCACATCTGAGATCGTCTTCGAAGGTACCCTTTCTATCACGGAGGAGGGCTCTGAGGGTCCTTTTGGTGAAATGCATGGCTATATTTTCCCTGGAGAAAGCCACGTGGGTCCCAAGTATAAGGTCAACCGCATCACTTACCGCAATAATGCCATCATGCCCATATCATCTTGCGGTCGACTGACCGATGAGACTGTAAGTAGCCCTACCCCATCTTTGCCAGTTCCCTACTAACAAGTATTAGCAAACCATGATCGGCCCGCTGGCATCTGCCGAGATCCGCAAGATCTGTCAACAAGCCGGTCTCCCGGTAACCGACGCCTTCACGCCGTTCGAGTCCCAGGTGACCTGGCTTGCTTTGAGAATCGACACCGCAAAGCTACGGGAGATGAAGACTACCACAAAAGAGTTCTCCAAGAAGGTTGGAGACCTGGTATTCAATTGCAAGGCCGGCGGCACCACCCACCGGATAGTGCTCTGTGGCGACGACATTGATGTTTACAATGGCAAAGATGTTATGTGGGCTTTCTCGACTCGCTGCCGTCCTGGCCTGGACGAGACCTTTTTTGAGGATGTGCGCGGGTTCCCCCTTATTCCATACATGTCACATGGGAATGGATCGCCAGTGAAGGGCGGAAAGGTCGTTTCTGATGCTCTTCTCCCATGTGAGTATACTATTGGGAAAGACTGGGAGGCAGCTGATTTTGAGAGCTCGTATCCTGAGGAGATCAAGCAAAAGGTTTTGGCCAACTGGACGAAGATGGGATTCCGGGAGGAGTAAACCAAGTCTTTATTATTTCAAGTAAATCTAAATGGAATTTGAGGAATATTTGTCAGTGTCTTGTGTACGGTAATAAGTTTTACAGTGGGATCTTTGAAGTATTGGGCAACGTTTTTGTACTATCACATACTGGCTTGTATGTGAGGATACAAGATTCAGCCTAATACTTTGGAGGTCTTACTGTACCTGGGTATGCCCAGGTGGGTACCCGCCAGCATGGGCGCTTGTCGAGGCGGAAACCCAATCTGTCTGTTCTGGCGAGTGCTACATCAACGTAGTCCACATCACCTAGTTCGGATCTCGGATGTGTGCTCCTATATTGAGAGAGCCCCAAATTTCCAACTGATACAACCTTCTGGCTAAGACAACAACCCCTGTTAATACCGGTACCTCGGAGTCCTCGGCAGGATGAGCACTATCAACCAAAGCGAAGCAGATCGGGTGTTACACCTTAAGAGTCGAGAGCGAGAGGCCCATGCATGCTACGCATGTAGAAAGCGCAAGGTCAAATGTGATGGGGGCCAACCATGTCGTACCTGTCAGAAGCGAAAACACCCTGAGATCTGTACCTACACCGTTGCGAATTCGAGGCGCAGATTGGCTTCTCGTCATAGCGTCGCACGCTTGGCTTCGCCAAAATCACCGGTCATAGCAGACAATGAACCAGCGCTGCTTGATGATAGTTCCAAGAATTATGTCTATTCTGGTGATAATTCGGTTGTTTCGCTCCTGCGCCTGCGAGCATCAGACGCCAATGAATCAGTGGCCCGCGAAGTTGGATCTGTTCTTGGCCTGCGGAATACCTTCAGCAACTTTCCTTTCATGGACCCGAAAACGCCTCTCGAGAGATGGAAGTCACTGTTGACTATAATGCCTCAAAGATCAGAGGCCTTGAAGTAGGTTGCAAATAGCCGAAAAAGAATACGGCTAACTGGTTAGATTCTTCCACTTCTTTCGTATCATGGCATATCCATTCAATCCAATACTAGCTGACATAGACCGCTTTGAATCTGACTTGTGCACCTATCTCAATGCCCACGCATCTGGTGAATTATGCGACCCGGAGAAGATCACTGATCGCTGGGCAACCGATAAGTCTATTGGCCATGTCAGCCTTTTACTGGCAACATTGGCCTCAGGGGCGCATTACTCCGATATCGATTATCCCGAACGACTTGAGCTGTCAATTGACTTCGGTAAGTTTGATTGCTCGCTCATTAGGCTTGGCTAAAACGATATCTAGCTCGTCGATCATTTGATGCTCTCCGCTTGGCCAATTTCCTTTTTCGGCCATCACTAGATATTATACAAGCGCTACTTATATTGGGGAATACCTTGCAGAATGTGGGACAGTCAGATGCCGCCTGGGCGCTATTGGGCACGACAATCCGACTAGCTCAGACCATGGGCTTGCACACTGAAAGCAGTACTGTTCACTGGCCCGAGCAGGTGAGAATGAAGGCAAGGACTCTTTGGTATGAAGACCGAACTACTATAGACATATTTGCTCGCATCAAAGCTAACTTTCAACAGGTCAACAATTATCTGTCAGGATAGTTTACTGTGCCTTCGCTATGACCGACCACCTATTGTCTCCGTGACGAGATGGTCTCTTGCCAACTCATTTTTCGACAGACAAGACCTGTCCTACATAGAAGTAATGCACTTGCTATGCCATATCAGCTTAGATAGCATGCGACCGGAAAGCCCCAGCGTTGCTGAATTTGATCGAGCATTAGAAGCGCTGCAGCGGCTGGATGATGCCCATCAACGCGGCCTACGATATCTTCGATCACGAGAAGGTTGTACGACACTACAACAACATCTTGAGCATTTAGCTCTCAGAATGCACACCTCTTTCTGTGTATCGGTCTTCTGCCGACCGGCAATAAAGCAATCCACTCCACAGCCTTTTCACCCCCATGCTGGTATTCTTCGGGCTCGTGCTAAGGAGAGCTTGATCGATGCTTCCGAGGCATTTCTTGATTTCCAAGCATTAAGTACTATTCCATTGCGGAACTGGTCAATGGTGCATACAGTGTTAAGTTCAACCCTGCTTCTCTGCATTTGGGAAGAGACGCGCAACGACCCTGAATGCCGCAACCTCCAACAGAAAGTGATCCATGTCTTCTCATCCTCTAATTCAAGAACCAACGATGATGGTGCTGCGTTTTCCGAGAGTAATAGCCAGTGGTTATCGGATCGCCACATCCGAGCCTTGGTGACCCTACGAAGCGCCCTGGACAGAGAACAGGAGACGGGCACTACCGAAACAGAGAGCTGGGCAGGAATGGATTTGAATATGGAGCCGCAATTCGTCCCAGGGTAAGTTTCACTATCAATGGTGAAAGATGAATTCTCACGTCTAAACAGGCCCATTGGGTCCATGAACATGCCCGACTCATTCGATGTATCACCCATCACATATCTGGACTCGATTATGAACTGTAAGCACGGTATTACTAGTTTCGACAACCAAAGCTGACATAGCACAGTCCCGATATTTGATTATACACAGGAAAATGGATTCCTGTGAACATCTTGAGTCTAATACCTTGGCAGTCATGTACTTCAATCAATTACACATTCACAATGCACACAATAATGCACGCAGCAATGCATCTATCCATATGCAGGATTTATGTAGCTCTTTTATCAAATAAGCTGCACTATGTCACCCGTGGACGGTTATCCACGCAAGCTTCGGATCTCGGCCTCGGGGCCTCGGATGGCTCCATTCGGGCCCCCAAAACTAGTCTGGTGACATTATTCTCCTGTATCTCTGGTTACACGATAAATTCTAACAAGAAGACCCGTCAGAGCTAGATAATTGGCATTTGCCACTTATTCATATAAAACGAGCCAGGGCTGTCAGGCTGAGCTCATTCCCAGTCTTCACAGCTCCATGTGATACAAACCAAACCGTCACTTAACAAGACCAAAACAATACTATCAACAAGCCTACAGTTAATGCTTTCTCTTTTCTCTGGAGCTCGCAACCCGTCTTCCAGCCGCAATTCTCTGGGAGGCAGCCCAATCGAAACAACAATGTCAACCATCGATCATGCCCCCCAACAAACTCGCCGCAAACGCATCGTGGTCGCAATGACCGGCGCAACGGGCGCAATTCTTGGAATAAAAGTACTCATCGCCCTCCGTCGCTTAAACATCGAAACCCATTTGGTAATGAGTAAATGGGCCGAGGCGACCATCAAATACGAAACCGACTACCACCCATCGAATGTCAGAGCGTTGGCAGATCATGTCCACAACATCAACGATATGGCTGCACCGATTGCTAGCGGGTCTTTCAAGACGGATGGTATGATCGTTGTTCCATGCAGTATGAAGACACTCGCTGCCATTCACAGCGGTTTCTGTGATGATTTGATCTCGCGCACTGCGGATGTTATGTTGAAAGAGAGACGGAAGCTTGTGCTTGTTACGAGGGAGACCCCACTTAGCGATATTCATCTGCGTAATATGTTGGAGGTTTCCCGTGCTGGCGCAGTTATCTTTCCTCCGGTGCCGGCGTACTATATCCGGGCTGCCTCGGTGGATGAATTGGTTAATCAGAGCGTGGGGCGTATGCTGGATCTGTTTTATTTGGACACGGGGGACTTTGAGAGATGGGAAGGATGGCAGACCGAGAAATAAAGGGAGAGAACTGGGTTGATTCATTTTGTTTAGCATTTGTTGGCGTTGTTATTGGCTTGTATAGACTGGTGCATTATCAAATAGACTTCTGATTTGCATACAAAAATTTATAGTGCTTTTTGTCAGCATCGGTTCTATATCCTCTCATTGCGTTTGGGCCTTAATACTAACGAGAGCATGTTTAATGTTGATTCTGAGGCCCGGGAATAATCACATCCGCTAGTGAATAACACAGCCAATTTCCTAAATCAATTTCCTACCCCATGGTTAGGCATTTCATTAAGTTTTATTGAATTAAAAGCGGGTTAGAGCGTTCATTACGAGAGAAAAAGTAGATGATACAGCGTAGGGGTGATGGGATATTGCCAGATAATCACTTAGATGAGAGAACTCGGACACAAAGGCGTTATAAGCTAACCAGACAGGTTGCTGTTGGGTGGCGATGGTCCAAATATGTCGACGGATTATCTCATGGGGAGATACTTCCAGGGGGTAAAAGGCTATCCACTTTGATTTAAGTGCAATATGATTAATCTTCTCTTGAATGCAATATCTAAACATTTGACAGCCATAAGAGCGACTCTCTACTAAAGGATCTGGATCTCTTTACCCACATCAGAAAACAATATCTCAGATACCTAGAGTTTATAAAAGCGTGACAACCGAGAAAGAATGATTTTTGCAGCTGCCTCCATTCGCTATGTTCTTTTGACTTGGGAGAGCTTGGGCCTTTACTCCAAGAAGTATTTGAAATTGAAACGCGGTCAGACTGCATCTGGACAATCGATTCTAAATTTAAAATTGTAGCATATTCCTTACTTGCTACTATACACGTAGACTGCGTAGCCTACAATAGCTCTTTCTTTTTACGTGTGGTATCTATGGGAATCATTGGCACAGATCAAATCACTGGTCCACAGGATACACACTTCACAATATTTTTGACTAGTTGTGAATGAATGTCTCGATTTGTGTACATACTCACGTGGCTAGTTCGAACCGATTCTTCCTATCAGTCCACTTAACGAAGTATCTTATTGTTAGAAGTACAGTGGGGTTGCATGGAAGTTTCTGGGTATCCTGGGTATCCCAAAATCTCCTGCGACATCGTCACTATCACGAAGAATCACATATTGTTCTTTGTCGGTATGTTCTACGACATTGTCAATTTGATGGTTTTCAATTTTTACAGAGTTTAATCCTACTATTGCAGTGCGCATATAACATTGGTCACTTATTTCTGTCACTTATGATGGCACGAAACCCCGTATAGCCCCCAAGTGAAAAAGAAATGTCGAAGAGATAAAACCCGAATAGATTCGGGCTGAAGCGTTCAATCTTGTCATGTTGATGAATTGTAGCAGCTACTCTACTGCTACCCAAAACTTGCTGAGCTTCCACAACTCTGTTTCCTTTGCCTCATCAAATGCCCAACTGCCGTATCCATATTCAAGTGCATCCATACCAGAGGGAGTTGGATGAGCTACTATAGATGCTCCTTCCAAGTATAATCCGCCTTTCCCTTCCAGTTCGCTCGATACAGAGCCATAGATAGTCGTTGCGCAGGCCTGTTCGAGACTAGACAAATATACTAGGGCGCGCTTGTCCTGCATCACTGCTTTCATTTCTTCCTCGGAGTGTTTCTGGAGATTAGGGCTTATGAAGGCTCCAGGATGTAAACTATAGCCATGAAGACCTTGAGCTCCATATAAGCGCTCGATTTGGGTAGTCATATATATATTAGCCGTCTTACTAGATCCATAAGCAAGCCAACCATTGTAGTTTCCTTCAAAGTTGACATTGTATAGATCAATAGGACTATAACGGTGGCCGGCCGAGGAAACGTTGACAACACGGGAATGGAACGTAGGTGTCGATGATTCTAGTAGAGTATCTTTCAGTAGATAGAAGAGGAGAAAATGAGAGAGGTGGTTGGTTCCGAACTGTAGCTCAAAACCATCTTTCGTACGGGCTTCCGGAGTTTTCATCACCTATAACCATAAAAGTCAGCTAGTGATATTATAGAATTGAGTTACAACTAACTCACCGCCGCGTTGTTGATGATAACATTGAGCTTAGAGCTTTGTTTAAGAAACCCCTGAGCACAAGCCCGAACGCTCGAAAGGTCTGTCTGGTCCATGAAAAGAATCTTGATACGCCCAGTGTCGAGTAGCTCGCCCAAAGCCTCCTTTGCCTTTTCAAGGTTTCGGGCTGTGCCAAATATAGTCGTTCCGGTAGATGCCAAGACGCGCACAGTCTCAACACCAATTCCAGATGAAACGCCGGTAATCAAAACGACCTTATCGCCCCATTGGTCAACTAGACCTTCATCGTGGATGATCTGCCTTCCCGTCACACGCGAGTCGCCTAGGCCGTTGAGAACTTCCCACCGATTTCGGTCGGCATACCGGCCTGAGAGCTGAAAGGGGATTGAGGAAACCATCGACATGTCGGTGATAATAGTAATGACCAGGGTTCGAAGAAAGGATTGAAGCTCTGATCTCAGCAAGTTCAGTGCAACTTTGAACACTATCTTGGGGCAGCGGTGGACGCGTGCTTTAAGGATAGTGAGAACAAACAAAAGCCGAGTCATATGGGCGTCACTAAACCAAATGGAGATTGGTCCACCTTGGGGGTTTCCAATCATGAAATAGACTCAATTCAATCCGGTAACATGATAGCGCTAAAAATTGCTTGGTATTCTGACTCGCTGGTGGAATATACAATTGCTCCTACGTCCTTATGATATTATTAGGGCAGCGGTCGCGCGACTGAAGGTGATTCTCACTTCTCACATCCTGTCGCGCGATGCCCACCGAACTATTGACCGCATAGAAACAGCATGTTGATGAGTTAGTAGTGGCACCTGCCAATTTGTATTCAACAACAAATTTGATTCTCCCAGGCGGCCCTTCTTTTTTGATCGTGCCATTTCAATCCTAGGAGGACATACATTAGTCTGTAGAAGCTAGTGCCAGAGAGTTGTGATCAAAAAAACATGCCTATGAGAAAAAGTCAGTATGGCAGGGGAACGGCCGCACTTTAGATTCCTCCAATGATGGATATTAAGCGCCGGTACTCACATATAAGCCCCGGTGATTGCATCGAAGCCCCAGTGGCTGCTGAATGGATGCCTACCCCGTATTAGATGTTTACAATACAAGCATGACCCCATTTTCTAGCCAAGAGCATGCTAATTGGGCACTAGAGCGCTAGTTAGAGTATAAGTACGGAGTAGAGGAGTGAGTTTCTCATGCACCTCGGTGTATAATCCAACAGCTTATCGTGTTTGGCATACAAGAATCCAGATTCTGACTGTCCCATAGCATTATCTTTCGGCGAGGTCCGTAACATTATCCTGGAAGAATTTCTTGAAGGATTGAGAATTACATAAATATTTGTCTCTTTTCCCATGCTCTTGGACTGCTTACTTTGTACAATCTCTCACGAGCACCATGGCACTCCCACTACTTTGCCTGTCAGTACTGGCAACTGCGGCATTCCTTGGATTATGGCGCATAGTATACAATGTATTCTTCCACCCACTACGAAAACTCCCCGGGCCATGGATGGCCGGCGCTACATCAGGTTGGAAAGCATATAAGGAAGTGATCAAACAAGAGACGCTGGCTTAAGAGCTCCTTGATATGCATGCTAAATATGGTGAGACAGGCTGGGAAAGCAATCAAAAGATGGGGTTCCTTTCTAATGCAAATACCTCCAGGTGAAATTGCTCGGATTGGACCAAATGAGGTAGGCTGTCACTCATTCTTCATTTTGCCTTCTCTTTTTCTCTGTGATATCTTCGTATCACTAACGTGAGTTATTCGCCCTTAGCTACATTTCGGAAATTCGGAAATCCATCCGCATTCCATGATATCTATAACAGCAGCAAGAGATAGGACAAAGATCCTGGGCTCTACCGAACCCCCGGTGTCACCACTGGATCTTTTGTGTTCTTGGAATATGCCCAGGCAAAGGAGCGCCGGGATGATCTGCTTCCGTTTTTTCTAAGAAGGCAATTACGAATCTAGAGCATCTTGTCTGGCGAAATGTAAGTGGCCTGTTACATTTTATCTAGTAAAAGATTTTCTATTTACTAATATACAAACCATAGGCAACCAACCTCGCCTCCTCTATTACCAAAATGAACGCAACCAAAAGCTCTATCGACCTCCTTTATGCCTTCCGACCCTACACCCTCGATGCTATCATGTGCTTTACCTTTGGAAAATCTGTGAATACGATCAATGCACCGGGATTCAGCGGCCCTCTGATCTTAGCAATAGACGCTAGTCTGAAGCTGCTACTATTCTTGAAGAACTTCCCCTTGATTCGTAATCTGGTTTTTGCCATTCCTCCGTCTCTAGTTATACGACTCGTTCCTAATGCTAAACGGCTGGCTCCGCGTCTCTATCAAGTCCGCGATCTCATCCAGCAACAGCTACAGGTTGTTCTAAATTGCTCCTCTAAGCTTGATGAAGTACCCTACACTCTCTTCCACAGTATGCTCAATCCCCAGGCATACCGAAGAGAAGAGGTCCCAGACCTAACAGCTCTATATGACGAGGGTTTCACACTTATCTTCGCGGGTGCGAATACGGTGGCAGATACGCTGCTTATGGGTCACTGGTATACCATACAGGATCCCGTCCTCCTCAAAATGCTCAGAAGTGAACTTCTGACTGTTTGGTCAGATATCGAGAAGCAGCCCTTGCTAGCTGATCTCGAAGGCTTACCACTACTCACAGCAACTATTAAAGAATCTCTTCGCTTTATCCGGTCGGGGGTATCACCAATTCGTGTCGTGCCTACGACTGGGGCCGTCATATCGGGCCAGCAAATTCCGGGAGGAGGCACAGTTGGCATAGCAATCCTGCATGTGCACCAGTGTGCTGAGGTATGGGGTAAGGATGCTCTGGAGTTCCGTCCTGAGAGGTGGCTAGAGAGCAAGGAGACGGTAGAGAGAGAGGATGGAAAGACGAGCCCCAAATCTCATAACATGAGTGACTTGGATCACTGGCTTGTGCCATTCAGTCAAGGTCCTCGCATGTGCTTCGGGATGAGCCTTGCTTGGGCAGAGATGTATATCGCTTTTGCGGCCATGGTTCGAAACTTTGATATGACTATTGACGGAACAACGCCTGAGGATATGCAGTGGCGAGAGTGTATTGCAGCCTATCATCCTAAGAGGCACCTGCATGCATGGTGCCGTCCCACTCAGGCCTAGGGAGGGTGGTAGAAGATTATAGAGCTGGAACTAAAGGAGCGGTACACAGAAACTTGAATGAAACGATTACCACTTGAATCAGTATTGTGATATGAATTAGTAAACCTTCTGAAATTTTATAATAATTACAATCAAAGTATTAGACAAAGAGTTCTATCAATCCTCTACTTAACAATATTGCAAACAATATGGCTGTTCCGATGAGAGACACAATGCATTGGTCATCAGAAACCCAAGGATAAAGTCTAAGGTCTTGGAAGAGTAGCCTCGAGCGTCAATAGGAAAAAAAATGGACCGTTGCTGACAGGTGTCAAGAACGAAAGTAGATTTCGCAAGGGCTCCAGATTAGGAGCCCATTTCGCACAAGAAGCAAATAATTAGCCGCATTGGCCATTTTCGCATGGTTAACGGGCTATCTAGATGACATACTGCAAGGCTGTCAGCAATGAATCTTATCTTGGTCATCATCTGGAAACTTACTGGGATGAACAGGTAGGGAACCTCCTTCTCATAGCGCTTCCAGGCCTCACCATACTTGCGGCGGCATCGGTTGATATCCCGGTTGGTACGGTGGATGATCATGGCCATGAAGAAAATGAAATAGAACCAAGGGAATGGGCTCCTATAAGTTGTAGGTTAGTTATTGCAGTTCATAAATTTTGCGAAAAGAATTTCTTACTTGAACCCAGTAATGAGACCCCAGGACATAGAGAAGAACATGTCAGGTACATAATTGGGCTTCCGGATAATCCCAAACCAGCCATCGACCATGATATGATCGCCTGCATCGGTTTTAATTGTCTTGGGGTTCTTGATAGCCTGCCAAGGCACCTGGGGGAAAGTGTTACGTTTGACAAGCTGCCCCTTCTCCTCATGACGAAATGCGTTCTTTTGGCCATTGGCACTGTCCCACATCCAGTAAAAGAAGATGTATAGGACGGAGAACACTGCCAGGGCGAATCTGTTCCAGCGATACTCAGATGGATCGTGGTTGGCCAAGTAAAGCGCACAATGGCAATAGGAGAATGGCACACCGGCCATATTCCAAAAGGTGAGTAAGAATCCGAGTTTCTCATAATACATATCCCTATTTTAACCTTAGACTGGATTTTTCTGAAGTATTTTATCTTAGATTGACTTACCAACTTGTGATGATCATTTGCTCTGCCTTGGCACAAGCATTGGTGTACAGGTAATGGGCCCCAGCAAGGAAAACGACCTCAGCAGAAACGTAGCCATAGGTTTCGTACTGACGAGCTGCCACAGACAAGGTGATAAGGAACAGAATAAACCAGGGAATTCTGACTTCGTAAAACATCTTGAAGTCCAAGATACCGATGCGTGGGTTCAACTCGGCGCCCATAAAGAAATCATAGATGGGAGAGCCCGACATTCTGTGGGTCCGTCCGCGCACGATAGCCTGGAAGTACACGATAAAGCTGTTCAGGAAGCCAGAGAGGATGGAGACAGTCATGATGGATCCGAATTCGTCAATCAACGTGTACAGAGGAAACACGCCAGTGGAATGTAAGATAGCAACAATTGCAAGAGTCGCATAGAAACTGCAGTAGGCTGAGCAGTAGTAGGGAAGCCTTTTCCCGTTTTCATGAAGCAGGGGACGGCCATAATTTGAAACACCAGGCATATAGCAGTACATCACAGACTCCATGATGAAAAAGACCCAGTAGATTGCCCATGCCTTGGCGGTGGGATATGCACCCTCATAGACCAATTGACAGAGGTGACGACCAAAATCAGACCAAGACTGGTTGACCTCAGGCAGAGGAAGCTTGCCATTATAGTAAGTTGCGCCAATCCACATGTACCACATGATGATGGGGAAGCCAGTCATCAGCAGCAATACGCCAATTGAGCCACCAAACTCGAACTCATCGGATGCGCCATCTCTGAATTTGGGGGTAGGCTTGGATTTGTTTTCCTTGACACCCTTAGCAGGTGGAGCCGCAGTAGCGGTAGCTATCTGTGGCACGGCCATTGCTAGCAATTGGGATGAAACAGAAATTACAAAATGATCCGAGAAATTTGATTATCTTCAACAGCGAGCTCAGGGGTGCCGTCATGTGACCACATACAGGGGTTGTCTAGAAGAAAAAGAAACAGAAAACAACTAAGGTTACAGAAGGATTTTGGGTAATCTATCTTGGCAGTAAGAATGCCTAAAGCAAGATACTCCGAGTAATTAAACCACCAGCTTAAACATCCAATTGGAACAGCCAGGAAGTAACCGATCACAATGCGACTGTTTTACACTAGTCCCAGCACGATGTTTGTAATTTAGCCCCCACTAACTACTTGCAACGGTGGCATGTAATTTCGAAATCGGCTAGATAAAGTAGGAAGGCTCGAAGTCTTGATACGTATAAGCTGGTCCTACACGGGACTTTTTTTTTTTCTTTGTCCTCTAAATGAGGCCGGGTAAACTTACCAACCTAGTGGGCTCAGCCACAATCTCCAGGGCTACAATGCTTGCTTAGGTACTCAGTACTCCGTACTGGGGTGAATAATTCTTCGTGGGGGCTTTGGAGGGATTGTCAAAGACTTTGGATGATACCTACGCACATTTTTCACAAAGTCGTGAACACCAGATCTGTCTGTGATAGACCAGTAATCAATTGCCAAGGCGCAGAGCCTCGGGGACCCGCTGCGACTGATAACTAGAAATGGCCTGAGCTTCCTGAGTCAATTGTCCTTAGAATGCCATGAACAGCACAGTAACAGTCAACTCAGTCAATACTTAAATTAGTACTTAAACCGCTGCTAGTATTGTTATTTGAAATCCTCTTGAGCAGCTGGAACAGCTTGTATAAGCAACCCTTATCTTATGTGCCAGTTGAGCTAGATTTTGTTTTTATGTACTTCATTGATCTACATTCCAGTTTACACACATTTGGTGGCCTCCTACCGACACTATGTGTTATATGATATATTACCACTCACCCAACTACTAACCCACCAGCGTGTAGCTTAAGTATGGCCATTAGTTGGGTATCGCCTAGGTGAGAAATAGGTGAGCGCCGCTTTACAGTCGCGCGACTGGTCTAGACCCCTTATCTAGGTACCTTCTCCCGCGACATGGCAGAGTTCGAGCTACTGTGTACATATATAGTTAAATTCTTGTGCATCAACCCTATGGTGATCTCTTCCCGCCTTACGCCTAGTTGATGTGAGTTCATCGTCAACAGATGAACGTGAACTTTGCCTTGGCTATATTCAGCCTCGGAACCGTGGTTCTGTCCCTCACTCAGCTGCGACTACCATCATGACTTGCTTCGAGGAAGGACCGACCTATGTACCAAACCATTCCAACTCCCTTTCTCTGGTGTAGGTGACCCCAAAAACATCCCTCTCAATGAAACACAACTGACCAAAATATAATTGAACCAGGTCCCGAGCATGAGGCAATACCACCGCCACCCTCGCTAGGCGGCCGAAGACAATCATCTGAGCTCAGTTCGTCCTCACATCGCCCTCATACTACCAGGTCTCTTGCATCTGGGCACACAAAATCTTCCTCTGTCGAATTTTCTCTAAAGATTACCTACACCCAGGCCTTGTCTCTCCAGAGTATCTCGGGGTTACGACTTCCAAACAGTGGTATGGGGAACCAATTGCAACGTTGCGACGAGGTATTATAGCCCTCGGGAGGCCGAGGATCAGCTCCCTTGACGAAGCGACAGTTAATCAACTGCAGACACTTCGTGATCTATACTTCTGGCCGACAGAAGACAACCCAGTTGATATCCGGAGTAGTCAACCCCTACCAGACCATCAAGGCGAGAAGCGACCCACGGATAGTGACGAGGGGTAACTTGAAAGCAAGAGGGTTAAACGGGATCCGACCAGGATAGATAAGCCCGAGGACACAGATAGTAACAACTTCAACCACTAGCAGAACCGGCGCTCGGGCTTTTCAAGACGAGGAGGCATTAGGACCCGATCTAACCACGCAAGAAGGTATTTGTCGCTATACTCCTATATTTGCTTATAATTGACGGCTCTACCAGTTCATCGCTATACTCGTATACCTAGTCTCTCTGCATTGCGCCGAGACTATATTTCCTTTTTTTATACCCTTTGTGACTATAACGTTTACCAAGTTGTAACACGGTGTTCCGGTCCGGTCACCGGACGGCAACTTATATAGCTATCTACGGCGGTAGAAAGCCACTCCTATTAATTCCTCTCCGATTGCTCTTCTTTACCCTGTATTCTAGTCCTCAATTGAACAATTTGATACGAATTCCTAGTTTTTACTCTAGATCTTAACTTCCAAGGTGTGACCACGACACTCTCGTTCATTCTTATCTTATTTAGTGACCAACGTATGGAGTAGACTCCCGCAGAACCCATTCTGGGTGGGAACCTTCGACCCAAAACCCAAATCAGTATAATCGGCTCCCTAAACATCGACTTCGGCACTGTCTCTATTTCTAGAGGTGCTTAATTATCTATCTATATTCCTAGCTAGAGCATGGTGGCGTAAAAATGGAATATACCGTGGTGTCCATCACTAGGCATTGTAAGCGAAAATATGTGATGAAATATATATAGATCGTAGATATAATTATCATCTATAAACAGCATATACTGCCGTACAATTACTAGTACTACCGAATAACAATACAAAATTGAAACTGACAGGCATAGAAGGAAAAAACCACCCGCTATACAGTGAACCACTCCTTGTTTCATTCTTTATCTTGTTCGAATTGCACCTCCCACACCATGGATGCGAACTCGACGAGTTCTTGTGTCTCAATGACTATATCACGTTCTCTGTTGATTTGTGCGGGGCGTCGAAAAAGAGATTCAAAAGGGATCACGACCTGAGGTGGAGGATGATCGGGATCAAAGTAGACTGCACCATCAGATTTCTTACTAATGGTTAAGTGAGTCCTGTTGATAGGGCGGGAGGTTTGAGAGCTCCATTCCCACAGGTCGATCGAGATTTCGGGCCTTTTTGTATGGAGATTAACTCCGATAGCTGCATTGGCCTCCTGTCTTTCTGGATCTATCCAGTACTGACAATCACGACGGAGCTTGGCGTAAGTCTCCGAATTGGCAACCTCCAAAATAATCGTGGGTCTCCTAGGAGCGTTTGGGGGGGGTCTTCGTGGACCCCACCCCCCGTCTGCCTTCTTTCTTGTGCCATCTATGGCAAGCATCTCTGTGCTTCCCCAGGATTGGATTGCTTTTGTCAGGCCCATTGGCTCAAGGGCCCCTTTAAGCATATCGTCGAAAGCAACTGTGGCTTGTTCGTGCGCCGGGCCGAGCATTTTGACGATAAGGATCTTTGTTTTCGGATTGAAGAATGTATTGGTACCAACAGGAGGATCCGAGTTGATGAAGTCGTGCTCAAAAGTTGTAGGTTCAATAAAGAAGATAAGGTGTTCGCTGTGGTCTTCTTTCTCGGGGCTATAATCTTCGTCTGGCGTGTTCTTAGTGTTGTCTCTCTCATCAAGGATATTCTGACGATTACAGTCATCTGCAAGCCTACTGCGGTGGAAAGTGCGAATGGGCATTGGCCTTTGCGCCGAGCCAAATTGAAGGGTGTCTTCCGTCTGTGGCAGCGTGATCGAATGGTCTTTGAGTCCTTCCCAACTTGCACCACTTGCCCGCGCTTTTGCCTTTCCTCCAACGCGGAAAGAACCATAGAGACGATCATTCTCAAGCGAGATGATCTGGCAGAAATCGTCCATACCACTGTAGCGATATGCTTTGACCGAAGGAGATAATCCTTCGATATCCTGCTGGCCATGTTCGATGGCGCTATCATTAAACTCGCACATCTTTGTTTTTAGAAAAAAGCTCGGCTGATATAAAGCTTGAGGATAATGTGGTTTATAGAAATAGCAAGAAATCGTCGTTTAAGGCATTAACAAGAAAGCTACCTCATTATGACTGTACTGTGTCGTAATATCTCGTCGGTTTATATCGGTCTGGGAGAGGAACATAGACTGTACGCGATTGGGTGATGGGAGAATTATAGATAGTGTGAGTAGGATGCGACCGCACTAACCTGCCCAGGTAAACTAGAATGTATATAGAGAAAATGAATGGAAATGAGACCATGGAATAAAATAAGCTGGAGAAAGAGCGAGAGGAATAGGGATCAACCTTAGAGTAGTAACGTCCTACACTCGCCGAGTCATGAACATCCCACTGAACAATTTTCAGTCATTTGCCTTCCTCGTTTTCTTACCATTCAATTTCTAGGATGCCCTCCACTTCCAGCTTCGTCTCGCCATCCCTTTCAAATCTCGTCCCTACAACATCCACAAGGCTGATCTTCTCTCGTGGTGCGCTAGGCTCAAGTGAACCGTCGACATGGGTGACGCTTAGCCTGTCGAGCTACTCACTGGTGAGTACATCCAGCCAACAGCTGTTAAGCCACACACAGTCGAGAAATACTTCCCCAAAAAGGGGGCCAGTCTCGCGCAGTTACTCTATTCCGCAACCTCGCCGTCGACGACCCACTCAAGTCATACATTGCCGTCGCAGCCATCGCTTATGCCGCAGACCAAAGCCTCCACAACACTCTCACAAACCACGTCTACAATAAGGGCGACGCACAGTTCCCCAATTTCTTCGCACTAGATAGACTCGAATGTTCGTTCAAAAGTGGCATACCGCTGACTTTCCGGTTTCACCGACGCATGTGTCACCCCTGCCATCTGGAGCTTCTCCTAGTACTACCATTCCTTACCGTCGTGAGGTGTCAACAATCTCGCTACTCATCACCGGCTCGGCGGCCGAGGGACTTTCTATTGAGAGCCTCGGAGTGAGTTCCCATCAATGCGTTCTCCCCCCATCTCCGAGGAGTAGCACATGGATACTGTTGATAAATCCCTTGGTTTTAGTCCCAGCACGACTAATAAACAGGGTAAAAGGCCTCCGTTTATCTCTCTCTTGCCAGTTCTATAGCCATCAGGATGGTCACTCTACCGGGAAGTGCTGTCTCAACTCAGCCTGCAACTGAGACCCATCGGCCGAGTGACACGCTCAACTCAGCCGCAAGCCCCAAAGCAATGCATCGATACAGTCTTTGCTGGAGACCCGATTTGCAAGTACAGCAGCTTCCTTGATACAGGGGGTCATCTTCGTTGGGAATTCTTCATTTTTTAGAGTATTCAACGCTGTATCCCTCCAGGGGATTACGGGTCCATTCTCCCAATGTAAAGCAATACTCGTGAGATATATTGAGTCTGTGGCTCGAGCATCCCCTATGTGCTTTTATTCCTACATACATCGTGATTCATCTCCTTACTTCACGGCAGACCTACTGACACATCTTTCTCGTTTTGGAAGTTTCATATTTTAGAGATGTACCAGATCATCATGAAACGGGATACATTATCCATTAATATAAAGACAACGAACATCGAACTATTTACATATGGGTTCATCTTAGCTCCACGCGAAGGTTACTAGTCACCAGCACTGCTAAGAAGTGCGAGCCCTTTGCTGGTGACCCCACTACCCCATCAATCAAGGTGAGCCGCCTCGGAAGACGGAGGACTCCTACACCATTCCCTCGGCCAAGCTCCCGGGTGTAGGGGTGGGGAATCGAACTGAAGCAAAAGCCAACTGACTGATAACAACTGTCCACAGACAATGATTCAGCCGGCTAGCAAGCCTTGCGCCAATTGTTCATCGCCAACCCTATTTTGAACGGTCGATAAGGCAGCCCTACTACCATCTAGTGACTTGATAGTAGCACAGGACCGGGGTTTCGATTCCCTCGATAGGGATTTCTCCCGCGAGCTGCCTTACCTGCCATTCACGATATATCGAAGGGGCGTGTGCCTTGATCAACCGCTCCAACTCAGTTTGAGTAAGTGTCACGGTGTTCTCAGTACCGCCATTCCTGGTTGGCTCAGAATTGGCTAGAGGGAACTCGTCATTCCGGGCTGACGGCGGACACAGCCAGGGATACCGATTGTGTAGCCACTCCTTGACAGAGGGGAGGCATGTGCCAACGTTCGATCCGAAGGTGAAAGCGCAGATAATGTAAACAACAGTTTCAGTCTGTATGGTTGAGAAAGAGAAAGAAGAAAGGGACCACCATCTTCGTGTTGTGTGAGAACTCGAAGAGAAGAAAAAGAAGAAGGGAATGAAAAAAAGAGAGGAAATGAAAAAGAGGGCGAAAGAGTATAAGAAGGTAGGTGCAGCTGGTCCTAACTTGGGAGGGTATGGGAAGGAGCGTTGGTTATCGGAGCATCACATTGTCGATAAAGGTTGTTACATGAGGTCGTCAACTTGTAAAATCAGCCTAATATTATATTCACGTCATCGTGGAGGGATCTATTGGGCAAAACATCGATGAGTACGACGAAGCAGTGATCATTTAGAGAGGTCAACCCGAAGACAATGAACACCGCATAGGTTTTCGACAAAAGATTCATGCCCTCACTCTACAGGTCGAATCTATTGCGGTGGACGAAACGATCAAATCATTTATGATGCTATAACAGATGTGGCAACCGGGAAGGGGTTTTCCTATGCACTCCCTGGTGGGACATGTACCTCGGGCTGCTGATGGGGTCTCTTATACCTTGCAGGTTAATGCCAGCCAAATCATCGCAGGGTTCTAGAGCTGGCCCTCGGGGGGGACCCTTCGGACCGCCGACCCGCCCCGCGGGTGGGTAAGCGACCGAGTTATTGACCCTGAGGGTCCACAAACAAGATGTCAGAAATACTGTATATAATACTGAGGGAAACAGGGTATTGTACCCAAGAATGTCATGTGACAACTAGTACCCGGCATACGGTGTATTTAGAATTAGTCAGCGATGTCCGCACTTGGAATTGTTCAAAAACGCGGATTTTATCATGTTTTATCTAAAGTTCTACACATTGATTTACCTTACCATACCTTGGTTCACTCCATATTTTCCGTCAAATTGTTACCCCGTTCTCACTTCTCTCACCCTAGTCTCAAGACTTCTTACCTATATCACCCGCACCCTGGAGTGCCACTTAGGTGCTAGGGCCAAATTCAGTATTGACTGTGCAAAGTATGTGGCTTAAGTACGGCTGAGCGGACGGGAAGCCTGTTTTCCACACCCTATGGTCATATGTGGTAGAGTAGGAGTGGGACATAATTATGGAATGTACATAGCTGGGTGGTGGAGGAGGAGTGGGATGCGGTAACTAAACGCTGCAGAGCTGCCCAGATGAGTGATATATATATACGTAGATCATATGTTGGGAATCACAAGTCGCTAGATTTGGGAAAATGAGACGTTGATCGGAGTATTTTCAGTGGTTCATCAGAACGTCTGAACATCCGGAAATGTCCCCTTGCATGACTCAAGTTTGCGGTGACGTTCTATAGGAAGGTACTATGTCATACCTGTAAATATCAACACTGAGGGCAGACCGGGGTCGTTATTCTCCACTCTGTGTGACACATCTCATCAATTTTTACGAAGGGTATAAGACTTGACGTGTCTGGCCATTTGACATTCTTGCTGAGGACTCTACTGGGACCTTACACAATCTCTAGAATCTTCCTTTTACATGATGACGGTTGTTGAAACCAGCGTGGAGCAGAAAATTGCTGTCCAAAAGGATGTGGAGGATTTAGTTGCCGCCTCTCAAATATATATGCAACACAATGATGTTGACGGCAAAGCCAAGCTTGACCTGCAGAGGAAGGCATCGAGCTTGATCCAAACGCTGCGTGGTCCTGTTCCATCCGCTTTGGCGCATTTTGAAGATGTCAGTGTTCCACTATAATTTTCATCGGTTTTCATTCACTGACTTCCGAAAGATCGTCCAAATGGCAGCTATCAGAACACTCATGGAGGCGGGCGTTTTCCACACGATTCCCAAAGGAGGGGCAAGTATAACGGCGGAGGAGATATCTGCCCGGACCTCCCTGGACAAGGACATATTGAGTAAGGATATATCACAGATTATACGATGACCGAAATGGCCAAACGCTAACTTGAAGCCAAGTACGACTGATGCGGGGTGTCACTCCTAGAGGTCCGTTCTGCGAGACCGGCGAAGAGGAGTATGCCCATACGCCTTACTCTGAGGCCTATCTGACCCCGGATATCAGTGGTTGTTTCCCTGTAATGTGAGCAAACAACCACCATCCTATCAAATACAGGACGTGTACTCACCTTCAAATCACTAGGTCTGACTTCATCTTCGGACCCATCTTGCAAATCTGTGAATTCCTTCGTCAAAACGAATGGAAGGATACTATCACGACGAGAAACAATCCATTTTCCCTCGCTCATAACTGTCCCGGTGAGACAATGTTTGAGTACCTATACAAAAACCCCAAACAAGTTTCTCGGGTTGCCAAAGCTGAAGCGACAGACCCAGAGCAAATCGCAATGGACATCTATCCATGGGAAGAAAAGCTGGCAGCTGTCGCCAGTGGTAAAGTCGCTGTCGTTGACATAGGTGGTAGCCATGGGAATGCTCTCAGACAAATCAAAAAGAACACCCCTGGATTGAAGGGCCGCTTGATCCTACAGGATTTGGAGCCAGTTATTCTCGAGCACGGTGAAGCCTTGAGCGCTGACGATTTCGAGCCGATGGTCTATGACTTTTTCAAACATGTGCAACCGGTTCGGGGTACGTAATGATGTTCTTCAAGCAGTTTAGATTGACGACCGTGCTAACGATTGGTTAATCTAGGGGCCTTGATCTACTACTTCCGACGTGTCTTCCATGACTGGCCTGATACCCCAGAATCCAAGCAAATTCTCCAGAATACAGCAGCATCTATGGAACGTGATTCCAGGATCTTGATCCATGATATCATTGTGCCCGAGGTTGGAGCCACAATGAGTCATGCGTGGCACGATATCAGTTTAATGGCGATTGGAGGCATTGAACGCACAGAAAAGAACTTTGCACGCCTTCTAGATAGCGCAGGTCTTGAGTTGGTCAAGGTCTGGAGAAAGAGTGGAGATATGCTGGGTATTGTTGAGGCTCGTCTGAAGTGAGAAAAGATTTACATAAAGCATATTATGGAGAAAGAATAGTAATCATACTATATGTTAAACACATTCAACTAATAAAAAACAGTGGATAATTAAAAAAAGCAAGCTATATAGGAAAGAAAGACAAAAACACTTGCCACGACTAGGTACTCCGTATGCAGTACTGATCCATGGACCGGCGTGTAGCTTATGTTCGATCAATAGGGTGTCACCCGGGTGACTAGGAGGCGCTGCAGGACATCTGAATAATCGGCCGGAGCTCTGTTCGTTGGTGAATTTCATGTTCATGAACCTAGCGCCTAATAAAGCAAATTCGCTTCCAGTCTATTTCGTGTGAAAGAGCAGTCGTCTGCGTGATTTTGGCAAAAGTCTCAGCACTTCTGACTATAGAAACCACCAATATTTTCCTTGGTGAAAGCGTTGGTGCGAGGGACCAACCTCACATCTGATTTAAAGCCACCCCCGGGAAGATAAATTTACCTAGACCGATTGCAAAGCGCCTACTGCACTATTGATTTGCCTTTTCACCTGTTGTGGTAGATATTCTAGGACCTGTCAATATCGCTCGGTCGCAATTGCCCGAAAACTCAGACGTGCCGTCGTTATTCTTCAATAACTTCCCAAGACATGGCGAATTCTTCTGTTAGCGACTGTACCAATATATGGCTGCAAAGCGTTCCGGCGACTGGGACATGGCTCACATTTACAGCCTGACCCACCTCACTTGGTGAGTTTTACCGGATCCCACGACGGCGCTGCCCTCTCTCATTTGGCCTCTCTTCCTCAGCCCCGACCATTGCGCTCAGGATAAGGTAACCCTTTCCCCTCACCCGAGACACTGGCCTGCATGTTCACCGCTCCGAATGACAATCAAGTGCTCGATGGTTGACCGTTTGCGCATGTAAGCGCCGTCGTCCTACGCTCTTGCAAGACCATTGTCTCGCTGGAAATCCGCTGTCAGCCCTAACGTCACTACACGAGTGCTTCTTTGGTCTTGATCCAGGGCGTCCGCCTCAATTCGGAATGGAATATAAACAGATCGAAATCTTCAGCTTGATTGACGGATTAGATTGGTTCAAAGTTTATGAAACTGAAGGAGGGATAATTTCTTCTTTCGTGATGACAATATGTCACGGACATTCAATCGAAATGACGCCGTTGACCTGTGTGAAACATCTATCATCCTCAACCAAAGCCCCCTTATCGCAAAACGTATGGGGACCTCATGGTGTAGGCTCTGTGTTAAATCAATCTTGGGCATTTCATTTCCTGCCTTTTGATCATGGAACAATTGGTGAGCAGATCTCGATCAATACGGTGGCGATAACCCTAGGTGCAGATGATACACATCCAGTCCCTCCCGAAGAATAGCAACATCGCTGTGGTTTGTTGGATCAAGTGAGCCAGCAAACTAGCCATACGCGCGGTATTCTCATACTCTATGCCTGCAACGAAATTGTTGGCAGACAGGCCTCGCTCGAATATGAGCCTGCCAGAGCTTTTGTGTTATAACCTGCCCCTGGACTGGCGAGTTACACATTAGGCCAAAAAACCACTATATCTGAGCATTATGCTCGGATATTCCAGGCTCCGATATATATAGTGCGACATGACATTTTGTCGTCTAAAGCTTAGACTTGGACCAGCACACCTCAACCTGTAGGGGAAGGAAGGCGTAATATAAACCAATGTAGTACGATAAAACATTATCAATATTACTACGGAAGGGGCGTTAGTAGTGGCTCTAGGTGGTAGTAGTGAAGAAGGAAGAGATGTACTATGTTATAGACATCGGTGCGTTTGAGTGTAGGAGAGTTCACGCTAAACTTCTACTCCGTATATTGTATGTTCACTTAATATTATTAGAATACCGGGGAAAATCATTTTAAAGACATTTTTATAGGTAGTTATAATAAAATGTGTACAATATTAGACCACGGTGTGATAGTGTGATACTGTCAGTTGTTGACCAACCAACTGAGGAACTAGCACCTCTCCCAACACTAGGCTCTGACATCCCCCTCAGCTGTCTCTGGCCCTGACCCCCAGCCCCTGTCTGTTGAAAAAGCCAGCCTGGCCCCTTCTTTCTCTGAAGTGCCATCAATTCTCTTCGTTCAAAATAGTGACTCTTATTAGTCCTGGTATTTTCATCAAGCAACTCCTCACCCGACAATTATCACATTTGTGCCTTTTGTGTAACAAAATGGAACCGGCCCAGGACGAAAAGGCGTTAATCGACAGTAATCCGCAGCTACAATCTTATTATCACTCTCTTGAATCGAGGATTGGTTATCGTCTTGTTCTTGGCGGAACACGCCATTTCGGATACTACGAACATGACACTTGGTGGCCGTTTCCATTCAGCCGCGCGCTGCGTGCCATGGAAGATAAACTGGCTACATTGCTAAATCTTGCACCGGGCGCTCGTGTCCTTGACGCTGGATGTGGCGTAGCCCACGTTGCGATTCATTTAGCAAGTAAGCATGGACTCAGAGTCCAAGGAATTGATATCGTCGATCATCATATTGTCAAGTCGAGACGAAATATTGCGCGGCATCATCTGTCGAAGGATCAAGTCACTGTGCGAAAAATGGATTACCACCACTTGGAAAGCTTCACAGATGGGAGTTTCGATGGCGTTTACACAATGGAAACATTCGTTCACGCCACAGATCCTCAGGGTGTTCTGCGTAATTTCTTTCGGGTCTTGCGTCCTGGCGGTCGCCTTGCGTTATTTGAATACGATCACGAATTAGTCAAGAACCCCGAAGAATCAATGAAGATTTCAATGAAAAAAATCAACGAGTTTGCTGCAATGCCGACCAATAGCGTCTCACAACCTGGAGTTTTCCGGCAAATGCTCGAAGACGCTGGGTTCACTGACATCGTTGTACGGGACTATTCTTCCAACATTAAACCAATGACGCGGTTTTTTTACCTGCTCGGTTATGTTCCTTTCATCATTGTGGCCTTTTTTGGTTTGGAAGGTCTCTTCATTAACACAGTCGCCGGAGTCCAGTCTTATCGGGGCCGTGAACACTGGCGCTATGTGACTATTTCAGCTTCAAAGCCAGGAGGAAGTACCGATGGGACGAAGAAGAGCCAATGATTGATCCTATGCTTGACAACTCTTGGCTTGTCTGTTTTCTTACACAGCAAGATTTATTCACTTCGAATATACTGTTCGAGAAATAACCTCGGGCTTTCCCAGTCAGATGGATCGCATTGATTTACGCGTAGAGTATTTGAAAATGCATTACCTCCAAGCTGAGATACTCGGTAACTGTTAGATGGCCTAGGGCCCCGTATATAGTGTTAGGCCGACCACGGGACCGATCATGTAGATAGGCGGATAGATCCTCTCATCCCTTCCACTCCCCCCCCCCTCTCCCCCCACCCCAGTCTACCTCGTGCCATAGGAATATGACAAAGTTCCTTCTCCATACCTAGGGATCATCTACTATCTAAAATCCCTGGTCTCTGGTGCTCGGACGAGTTTTGTGACCGTGGGAAGGGCCGCTTGGGCTGCATATCGCGATTCAGTTTTCTGTGCTATTGTATATTTAGAGAGAAAGCCTATGTCGTAAACCCCACACTAGCAATGGTGTCTTGGACGCATTTGCCATGCCGAGTTGTAGTTGTCTCCTCATTGACGGATAACAGTGTAACAATTGGGCGTTTCTTGTGACGCGCAATTGCCGGATTAGAAAATCCTGGAACAGGTACGTGCTAGCTATCATACAAGTGGTTTTCTAGATTGCTCGAGTAAACCAAGAGGAACCGTAGCCCCCAGAAACTTTGCCATAGCTAAGTAACCTGTAATACGTATGGTCATAGCAGAATAGCGATGGTGAGGTGATAGGTGATGTGATACGTCCTGCATATGCAGATGTGACATTCGCGCTCGGATCCACCAAGATAACCTTTATAGCGGCAATATAGTAACTAATAATGAGATCTTCTACAAATAATTCAAAGGTCTAAGGACAGTAGTCCGGAATACTCAGTAGAATAGTTTATCTTTCATCCCGCTAGCTACCTACAAATTTGAGTTGATCAGTCATAAGAACTAGTTTTAGTCTGCTTGATCACACTGATCACAACCTTGGAAGTAGCCGGTGCTAAGTCGGGTAAGCTCACCCAAAGTGTGAGGTTCGTGCTCGACCGCCACTAGTACCGCAATTTCTCGCACGTATCGCTGCTACAGTGGGAAAAGCATGTTGAATGAGTGATTAAGTAGATCAGTACGGCTGAGCGGACAGGAAGCACTCTTTTCCACGCCGCATTGTCGTAGATAATGTATTATTTTTGGGATAGGATTATACGATGAAAACAATTTAGAATCAAGTGGTTATAGACCGGGCATGATAAAGGAGTGCGCTATACGGAGTACATAGGGTGAGGATCCTGGTTGGCAAATCATTTGCCCATCCCGGGTCCCATACTCTGTTTTCAGCAGATTAATCTGCTTTCTAGATCAGATAACGATGATCAGAGCAGTAAATCCCAATAAAAGTTGCCAGATCACCTCCAAAGTATCGGTTTATACGCTTATCATCTCGCTTGTGGCTCAAGAGACCTAAGGAAAGTCATCGATACATGGGAATAAGCCTCCCCCTCGGCGAGCTGGACAACAATAGCCGGGTATGATATCTCATCGAAGATAATTTCTAGGCTCGAACGCGCGACCTAATACCTCACTTCTTGGGCTCTAGATATTAGTGTCGAACTTGAACTAATGAGCTCCCTGTGCTGTAGATTGGTAATTATGGGATGGTACTAACGCCGGGTAAATCAAAGCTGGCCCTGGGTAATTACCAGCGACAAACCAATCCGACCCTTGACTTCAACGTTTTGCTTATCGCTTTTCCTTTTTCCCTTTTCCCCTGTCTGAGGTGACTCACCTTCAAGCGTTGCCTGTCACTGGAAAAATTTCCATCGGGAAGTCTTGTCATGATGGACCGTCAAACAAATGCCTGTTTTCGATCAGATTCATCGTTCGGTCCAGTAGTGTCGGGCTGTCGCGACGACTTCGATTTTACCCTCGCCTTTGAGTTGTACTTCTTTCTCCTAACACCCGCGGCGCTATTTCTGTTGGTGGCGCCCACCCGCATCTACTTGCTCTTTGCCTGGGACCGCTGTGTCGATGGCCTATGGCTGCGAAATTCTAAGCTGATGGTGGCGATAGGGTACTCTGCTTTGCAACTAACCCTCATTGCACTATGGGCTGTCAGCCCGATGCCTGCGTCCGCCGCAGGAATTGCTGCCTCATGCGTCAATACCGGTGCAGGCCTGTTTATTGCCTTGCTGGCGTGTCTGGAACATACCCGTACTCTCCGACCGTCACCTATCATTAACACGTACTTAATCTCGACCTTTCTGGATGCGGTTGTGGTTCGCACACTATGGCTAGCTAGCTATGCGGCTGAAGACCTACGCAATGCCTTCACAGCAGCATTTGCCCTGAAGGCTTGCCTTTTTATTCTAGAGACTGTGGAAAAGCGGCGGTTCTTCCGTTCAGAGCATGACCGTGCTCTTAGCCCATATGCGAAAAGCGGTATCTACAATCGGGCGGTATTCTGGTGGGTGAATGGGCTGCTGCGACAAGGAGCGCGACAAAAGATAACCCCTAAAGATTTACACCCATTGGAGAATTCCATGGCCGCCGAAACCCTGGACGGGCGATTCTGGGCATCGTGGGAGAAAACCGACCGGAAGCATCGTCGACTGATATACACCTTTATCCGCGCGTTGCGTTGGGATCTCTTCGCTCCGGTATCTCCGCGGTTGCTCCTGATTGCTTTCACTGTCAGCCAGCCGCTGTGTTTAAGACGATTCATTCAGTACCTACAGGCGGACCCAGAAAAAGGTGTGAATGTGGGGTATGGCATGATCGGAGCATACTTCCTAATTTATGTTGGCATTGCGGTTCGTTCCCATATTTGTGTTGCCCACGTGGACACATACAACTGACTCTGCTATGAATTAGATTTCCACTGGATTCTACTGGGCTTCATGGTTTCGTTCCCTGGCATTGATCCGGAGTATGCTGATGACAGCCATTTTTGAAAAAACGCTCCAATCACCAGCATCCGTCGCAACTGAGAAGGCAGCAGTGACGTTAATGAGTACGGACGTCGATCGCATCATAAATGGTCTGCGTGAGATTCACGAATTATGGGCTAACCTCCTGCAAATCATAATCGCCACATACCTGCTCGAAACAGAACTTCAATATGCGTGCATTGCGCCTGCGGTCACTGCCCTTGGCTCCTTCATAGCCATCACCTATCTATCAGATTATACCAAGGAATTTCAAAAGCAGTGGATGGGCAAGTTGCAGTTACGCGTTAGTAGAGTTTCTGCCATGTTGGATTCTATCAAAGGGATAAAGATCTCCGGGCTGACGGACCGGTTGTATGCGATTGTCGCTGCTCTCCGCCAAAACGAGGTTGATGCCTCAAAGCCTTTTCGACTTTTGGGTGCCGGCACCTCAACTATTGCATTACTACCTCAAATTCTCTCTCCCGTCCTGGCATTTGCCATATATGCTGCGGTGACACTTCGTGGTAGCCGCCCCCTGGATGTCTCACGTCTATTTACTTCCTTATCCATTCTCTCCTTACTGGCGCAGCCCCTGTTCACATTATTTGGCTCAATTGTCAATTCTCGGACAGCAATTGGCTGCTTTGAGCGGATTGAGGATTATCTTTGCCAAGACAGCCATCTTGACAGTCGCACCCACGATGCTGTCTCCACTTCGGCTGTGAAGCGCAGCGAGGGGATGCAACCGACAACAGCTATAAAACTTGAGGCCAATGATCAATATTTATCGTCAGATTCCCTTGTGGTATTTCAACTGGAGAAGGCATCGATAGGTTGGTTCAAGAGCAAAGATGCCCTTCTGGCCAATATCAGCCTTTCAATCAAGAAAGGCACCTCGAACTTCATCGTGGGCCCATCGGGTGTCGGTAAATCCACGCTCCTGTATGCATTACTAGGTGAATGCCCGGTACTGGATGGGACCATCCTCACAACTTCCGCGGATATTGCATGGTGTGAACAAACTCCCTGGTTGGTCAACCAAACCATCCGGGATAACATTATATCTGGCTCCGCTATAGATGAAAAATTGTTTTCAACTGTTATTCACTGCTGCGATCTCCGTGATGATCTAGAAAGTCTTCCCGCCGGCGATCAAACCAAGATTGGCAGCAAAGGCACCGCACTCAGTGGCGGCCAGAAGCAAAGGATTGCCCTGGCCCGTGCTATTTATTCCCGAAAAGATGTGATTCTACTTGATGACCCTTTCAGTGGACTTGATATTACCACAGAGAGCAATATCATTCGCCGCTGCTTCGGAACGAATGGGCTTTTTACGCGCTGGGGTACGACTGTTGTGATAGCCACTCATTCATCACGCCTGCTACCTCTGGGTGACCAGATTTTTGTGTTGGACCCAAACGGAAGCATTAGCGATCGCGGCTCTTATCAAGAACTCGCCATAGCCGACGGTTACCTAAACAAGACGCATGGCCACAGACTGCCTAAACAGACAAAAGAGTCAAATGAAATTCACGTGTTAATCAAAAAGTCTGTAGAGCAGATGAATACAAGCAAGAAACGAGCTTCGGATACTCCAAACAAGTTCCACGATACACCGAAAGCTGAATCACCGCAATACGCCGAGAAAAATATAATGAGCAATTCGTCTGTTTATGGCTTTTACATCAAGGCAATTGGAGTGGCTCCACTGATGGTATTTCTCGCACTGGAAGTACTGTGGGCATTTCTATCAGTTTTCCCTGTTCAGTGGCTCAAATGGTGGGCAGAGGATAATACTACCCACGGTAATAAGCACCTTGGCCTTTATTTGGGCGTCTATGCAGTTTTACAAGTAGCTGCACTTGCATCTTCTGCAATTGCCACATGGTTTGCATTCAGCTTCATGGCACGGAAGTCCGGTCTCTCGCTCCACAGTAGTTTGCTCAAGGCGACTCTGTCCGCACCACTAAACCTCTTTTCCAAGCTGGACAGTGGCGAGATCTTGACTCGGTTTTCACAGGATATTCAAATGATTGATATGAACCTGCCGTTGCAACTTCTGACCCTTACCCAAAACCTATTCACCTGCATTGCACAGGCAGCCTTGATTGGCTCTGGGGTTGGCTGGGTAGCGGTGAGCTATCCTGCGCTCATCGCAGTCCTATTTGTGATCCAAAGATTCTACTTACGGACTGCGAAGCAGATGAGGTTGTTGGACTTATCTGAAAAAGCCCCAGTGTACAGCCAATATCTCGACACTTTAGGCGGGTTGCCCACAATCCGTGCCTTTAAATGGCAGGCACGCTTTCGGAAGACGAGTTATGATTTAGTGAACAACGCCCAGAAGCCGTGGTATTCATTACTTATTATTCAAAGGTGGCTTTTGCTAGTTCTTGATCTGGTCACAGCGGCCCTAACGGTGCTTATTGTCGGGATTGCAGTTAAGTTACGCTTGTCAATTGGGACGGGCGGTGTTGCTGTTGCTCTGGTGCAAATTATCACCCTGTCCAATTATTTGAATCAACTGGTAAACACTTACACTATGTTGGAAACTACGCTGGGTGCGATAGCGCGCATCAAGAAATTCGAGAACGATATTGTCGCGCTACCTGGTGCCACCTTCAATGGTCATGGCAACCAGCCACCGTCAAGTTGGCCTGATAAGGGAGAGGTTACTCTTGAAAAAGTATCTGCATCTTACAATAGTGGGGATTCCCACCGGCCAGCACTGGATGATATCACAATACACATTCGGCCTGGACAGAAAATTGGGATATGTGGCCGGACGGGAAGTGGAAAGAGCTCGATCTTACTTACTTTATTTCAGTTGTTGAAGTTGTCTTCCGGTAGGATTCTGATGGATGGCCAAGACCTGGCCATGCTCGATCAGGAAACAGTCCGTTCACGGTTGAATGGACTCAGTCAAGACCCTTATTTTCTCGCCGGCAGTGTGAGATTGAATCTTGATCCATATAAAAACCCGACAGGGAGCGATGAGTCCAATGACGAGCGACTCATTAGGGCACTCGATACCGTCCAGCTGTGGTCATTAATTGAGCAGAACGGAGGACTGGATGCCGAATTGAAAATGGAGTCGCTGAGTCACGGCCAAAGGCAACTATTTTGTATCGTTAGAGCGTTACTCCGGCCGGGCAAGGTTGTAGTTCTGGATGAGATCACCAGCAGGTATTTGATGGCCTCCTCCTTTGACTTTCTATGTCTACAAGCTTATTGTTCTTCTTTTCCGTGCAGCGTGGACCTCGCAATGGACAAGCTGATACAATCCATCATCACCTCCGAGTTCGCTGACCGAACAGTCATTGTGATTGCACACCGTTTAAATACAATAGTGGATTGCGATCGTGTGGCTGTTATGGCTGATGGTAAGTGCGTGGAATTCGACGACCCCAAGGTGCTCCTAGCAAGGAAGAACTCTTTGTTCAACACCCTTCTACAATCATCTTAGCGAGACAAGGTCGAATCCAGTTCTCTATCGGGTCCCAATTTACACAAATGTGGCATTTTTGCGATTAATAGTACATCGATTCTGTACCAGGTTGAAAATCATTCTATTCATTTTAATCCGTGTATCACGATACTGCCGGGAGAGCTGCAAGGAGAGTGTCGTCATCTCGTGCATCAAATGGGTCAAGGTTTGACCTAACAGTGCCACGGAAGATCACGGGATGTTTTGGTATTATTAGTATTCAACTGCGCAATATGTCAAGCTTGACATTCGAGATATCCACCTCATGCACCAATATTTGACCTTGAGAGGCTTCAAGAAATCGATATAAAGCCTGAGCAAGTGACGAGTTTCCTGCTCCCGTGCGGCCAACGACACCAACTCGCTGCCTCGTTTGTATAGCAAATCTTATTCCATGCAGTGCCAATTGTAGACGAGCGGCATATCTAACCGCCAGATGAGAAACCTCCAATCTACCATCCAAACGTCATTTCTCCGGGACATGGAATCCATCATAATTCTCTGTTTCTAGAACAGTGAAAAGCATTTGGCAAAAGATTTGTCGGGAGGTTCACAGTGTGGCTGCCATAGAGAGGTATGAGCGGCAAATTCCAAGGATACACGCTGTCGCCAACAGAGCAGCTTATATCCCGAGATAATTGAGATATGACCCTTCAGTGGAAACCCCATCTTTGTCTTCATACAGGTACGGGAGGAGTGAGTTCACTGAGTATTTGAATCGGACCCCTGCTCCCCTGTCCTGCCATAGTTCAGCACAAAGTTGCGCTCGTGGATAACAACTTATCTATCATCGTGATTTGTTCCTTCTGGGGCAGCTTTAGAACTTGGAATGTTGCATCTATGTATGTTTTGGTGACTATCAGAAGCGCTAACTGCTCTAGATAAAGTTCAAGACTGAAACGAAGAAAAAAGAACTTCGGTGCGATGAGTAAAGGAGAACTCCAATTATGTTGCCAGGTCTCGGCGGAGGAATATAAGCCTACAATATGCTTTAAATCCTTGTTGTTTGTGTATTCACCTCTGGATTTAAAAGAAATAGCTTGACTATTGACGGATATTTTTTGAATGTTCTATTATCAACGATTACTGCCATAATTAATCTCCAGCCATGGGAAATTTCGTGACCATTTCGCCCAAACCGACCGTCAACTGGCAAGTTCAATCAAATCTATTTACAAGCTTCATAACCTTGTTTCCCGTGCTGCTCTTCTCAAATCCTTCAAGATAATTCAGGAAATTGACTTTGAAAAGGTGTTGATTTTCAGGGAAAACGAAAAAGAACGTGTTGATCATGTCCACGAAAGTTTCGCTAGCCAGAATTCCTTCGCCTGCAGCTGCACGAAGTATGCGGACCTCCAAAGTGGACTGTGGAGACGAGTCAAAACTGTCCAAGATCAGTTGCCATTGTAGGATCCCTGAACCCTCGGTCTGCATGAGATTCTCGATCTCTTCAAAATTGAAATATTCGCCGAACCATTTGAAGCTGAACCGACGATCCCGACCCCCAAGGCGGAGGACGCGAAAGTGTTTCAGTTCAGATTTGGGAATAATCCCAGCGGCAGCTTCGGGCATTGGATGAATCGATCCAACATCCCCTGTTATATATCGGACAAGAGGATTGCGCAAGCGCTGCAGAGACGTTTGGACAATGATTCCCTGCTCCCCTTCGGGAACCGACTTCCCACCGCACCTACAGGAAGGGTCCTCGGTGAGAGTAGAAGAGTGAAGAATCTCAATGAGCATGGTGCGAGTATCAAAGACGAAGTCTCTCGATGAAGAAGCGCAGTTTCCCGTGAGGTCGGGATTGCTGATTGCGTATGGACCTGCCTCGGCACTTCCCAGAATGGACAGTATCTTGACTGCACCCAGTATCTTTGAGATATAAGTTCTCTGGGTAGGTGTCATCAGGTCAGAGGTGTAAACCACTTTGTTAATCCTGACTTCACTTCTCTGTTCAGCCGGAAGGGTCGAAATGTGATGAACAATGTGGATTATTTGACTACTGTCCCCTGTCAAAACATTCGCACGGTAGTTGATCAAACAATGGACGGCCTCTGCAGCGTCCATGCGACTGCCAGCACATAGAACAGATGCTCCTGCATTTTCGAAGATCTCACTGATAAGATCGAGGGACCTATATTATAGGACGTTACAGGCCAAACAGGAAGTTTGCAGTGAGGGGAGTCTACATACCTGTAAAGGAACCCTGAAGTGTGGGTTGTGAGAACCCAGTCATGAGGCTCGACGACCCCACATGTATTTAGGAATTGTCCAAAGACTGCCCTGTGCTTGCGATTTTCGACTGTGTCCGTCGCAAACATCAGTGGCAGCCCACCAGAGCCTCCTCCTGTAGTACTAATGTAGACGCTACGCCGATATTCATTTCTTGGATTGGTGTCATTCGTCAGTCGCTTGATGACACGATAACTATGAAAGTTCGTCAATTGAAATCAACAGAAAATAAAATGTGAGCATGAAATTCAGCCATACATGTCATTCTTTTTCAGCAAAGGTTGCAAACTAAGCTCTGTATGCTTTGGCTCTGTCGGCGAAGCTTGAAGGGCCTTCTGGATTGCTTCTGGATCAGGAGGGTACTTTGTATCTGAATTATAGAAAGGGTGAATTTCGGCCACCCTTATGACTTCACTCAACGAGTACGTATCGACAGTCATCATTGTTTCACAGTACAATTTTGGCCTAGAAATGAAGTTTTTCGACAAGCGGGACTACTTTATATACAAAGTATGCGGAGACAACAAGTGTCGGAAAAATTGGTGTAGAAATAACATAATATGGCAAGATCTGCAGATTGATCGTCCATGCGATCAAAATATTCGACGGTCCACGGGTGGAATGGAGCAATGATCATCAAAAACTGGTCTTGGCCAGATCACCCCGCAGGTGATCTATCGGCCATTCCAGGCGCTTTCTTGTGCTTCTGGCCTAGGATTGGCCGGTGGAACTTGTTCGGTCCAAAATCTCTCGATTTCAAGCAAAAAAGAAAAAGAAAAGAAAAATACACTAGCGACGTATACTGAGGTACGCGAATGCCCTTAATCCAAGCAAAAGTAACTAGAGCTGCTTGAAGAAATCATTAAATATTATGGTTTTGTATGTGTTCCATCGTTTTATCATACAATGAAAGATTATGCATTGCACCCTACTGCATTTTGCTAAGGCAGATCGTCTACTCCGTACCTTGATGCTTAATGCCTAGTTTGTAAGGTTCCCACTTATTCAGCTAACTTCTGCAGAGAACCAAGAAAAGATTTTTCTCTCAATGGGCTTTTGATACGGAGTAGATACTCCATAATCAACAGCGACTGTCGGACTCCGAGTTAACATATAAGCAGTGGAAAGACGTGGAAACCCCTTAGCTAGAATGATCATCATCTACAGACTCCACTTGTACGCGCCAGCCGAGAAGGGACGCTACTGCATATGTACGAACTTGCTCTTTTTGCTCGTAATACCAATACCATTAAGTATCACTAATCGATTGTTTGTATGCAGCTCATAGCCTTTTTTTTGTATTTAATTCGATGTATTTGTTTGAAAGAACACCATATTTATTACTCGTGGCGTGCATGCAGTAACATCCCTTCTCGGGCTGGCATGGTAGTGTGGTGGCATTTTTCAGCTGCTCTTTCCTCGTCAATCCGATGCGTCGATAATTTCGAGCATAGATATGGAATGGGTGCATCAGCCTCACATACCATACCTCCATTATTGAATTGTGGGAAATATTCCGTAGATGAATTTAGTCTCTCAACATTTGTTGGAGATTAACCTGATATGGGCTAGTTATATATAGTCTGCTGTAAGTGGTGCAATTTGACCATGTATATTTATCCGTCATGAAGAAGTTAGCTCAACGCAGTTTCAACAAATTCACGTCTCTTTGAGTGGAGAAGAATATGAGCCGGTCGCATCCTACAAGCCCGATAAATTTAACAGAATTCAAGAAGATTAACCTCTTTGTTCCCGCTTGCAGCAGTTCTGTTCTGCAAAGCTGTGGCTTAGCAACTCTAGCACTAGCTGCTGTCCACGGCCTGTTCTCGTCCATCGCCAGCATATGAAGCGAGTGATGAGGCTACATATCGATGCTCAATCTACCGCTGCTCTGCCACGCGACAGAGAGGTCTTGGGCTCGTGGTGACTGGACTTTCTCATTGAAAAGGACAGTGCCGGAGAGTAGAGCTTTCGCATCAGCGAGATCAGGGCTCGCTTTTCATTCCACGGGTTTATACACGAGGCGCTTGCACAGAAAGCCCTGGAAGACATTGGCGGTGCATGGATGTGCTCTGTAAGATATCGCACTCATCATGAGATATTTGTTCTCGAATTAGTTCCCATACAAGGAAATTTCTCGTGAGGATGCTTTTCCCCCGTGCATTCAAATCCCCGTATTGGAATCTGTCGTGCTCAAGTCGTAATTTCAATTTCAACCGAACCGGGATGCCCTGCGTCTCAGGTGGATCAAAGCTGTAGTACAGTGAAAACATGTACTAAGTTAGTATACTGTTTGATTAGGCCTTATGGCTTACAGGATATTTCCCCGTTTGGGTTGCACCTTCTTGCATGTGTAGTATGCCATTGGAAGATCCGGTTTACCATCAGGTCGAGTAGAGAAGCCATGATTATATATGTTTTCAGATATTCACGTAGTTTATTATAGCATTTTGTCAACTAAATGACGTTTTCTCAGGATACCACGAAGGAGGTAGTGTACTCTGGTTCAAAATGCATCTATGAATAGCAAGGCTGGCAATAAAACTCAGTTACACTGGCGCTACCTGAAAGAGCTCATACCAGGATTAGGGCCAAGGACAAATTCCATATCATGGCAGCAAGTTCTAAGACCGATCTAGAAAAGGAAAGGCACTTGTCGGAGGAAATTTGGAGGTGTTCAATTGGAGGACATGCTACATAACCTCCTGAGGTGCTTTGTCCCTAGATGAGCTATTCACAATTTAGACCCTTGCGTTGACGCCTATCCCGGCGAGGTTAATTCGGGGAAGTGACCAAGAACATACTGTCTACAAAATGGAATTCTGGGAATATAACAACCACGTGCCTACTAAAGGTCTAGAGGGGTCCGTAGTGCAATGCTTGCAGAGTTGACCTTGCTATCCCGTAGCTGACCTCGCCCTAAGCAGTCTTTGGGTTGATTGGACCAACGGAAATGGGAACATTGTAGCACTAAGTCGGCGTTCAAGTTCGTACCGAAAGTTTAGCCAGAATATGAGTGACATGAAATCACACGATCACCGAGATGAGGCCAGCCAGCCTTTAATTTTGCATCAGGTCGAGTTAGAACCGAACACAAGAAGGATGCTTCGGAATCCTTGTTCGTAATACCCTATCCCAGGCTGTTGTGATTAGAGTTCATAAACCGTTCTATCTGTTTATGACAAAGTTTTCTCACCTTACTATAAATTGAAGCTGCAAATCACAGCCACACTCTAAAACATTCAACAAACTGCTATTTACTAAAAGCGACCTATTTCAATTTCGCCAACAACTCAACATGGTGGGTCTCTAATGTGTTCCTTAGTCGTTTAATACTTCCTGGGCCATATATACCTTATTGGACTCCAAAAAAGCCATTCTAATACTACATATAGCCGTTCAAACCCCTCGAGGATAAGATTCTTGTAGAGAGAGTTGAATCCAGCACCGAGAAGGGAAAAGATCTCTCCATCCCCGACCACGTCGAAGGGAAAGTTGTGTCCGTTGGGAAGAGAGTCGCCGAAGATGGAACTTTGATCTCTCCTGGCTTGAAATCTGGAGACACTGTAATTATCAGGAAGGCATATGCACCCCCTCCTATACAGTTGGAAGGTATATTAAAACATCGCACAGGCCGCTGGAACAGAGATCCAAATTGATGGTGTAGAGCATATTATCCTCAGGGAGGATGAGTAAGTCACTCACATCTCGAATTATTTTCATATCGATGTTGACTGAAAAGCTAGAGTACTGGGTGTGATTGAGTGACTGCGCTGTATTTTGTGAGCTAATAGTGCACTTCGCAATATTTATACTCCTGGTGTTCTAGTCCTTTTGCGATCCCGGTATTAAGTCACGTATACGATTTAAATGTATTGATCCAAGTCAAACACTAAACGCCAACCAATCATTAAAATAAGGGATATAGGCGTTTCTGAATATACATATCTTCCATATCCCTGATTTCCACATAAATAACGGGGGACATGCTTTCGCACGGGGTTGAGAATTGATTATAAACAAGTTTAATTGGGCATAAAACCCAAACAAATTCATAGCAGCCCTTTATTGAAAATTGATGGACACCTACTAAATGAAAACATCCTCAAGTTTATAGACACTAAAGTAGTGCAAAACGCTGTCAATACTACATTGCATGAGCCCCCTTAGGGAAGCTATCCTATCACTGCCACTATGTAGGGATCCTAGGAGGAGAGAATTAACAGGACGAGGTGCTCGTCCTTTCAACTTGGACGCTTTTGTTGATAGCCTGAGTGCTCTGCGGGACGTCCAAAGCAGGGTTGAACTCGAAGAAGTGGGCCGGCTTCAGAGAGACTGAGAGGATTTCAACCCCCATTACCGGGAATTGCTCCGGGGTCGGGGTATGGGTCAGGCCAATTGTATGCCAGACGACGATATCCTCGTCTTTCACATCTTCATTCCGTGCCGCATGGTCAAAAACGCCGTTTGTCTCCTTCACGCTCTGCTCTGTCCACCGCCCACCGGCCCATAGCTCTCCATCCCGGTACCGTGTGACCCAGATATGGTGCTCGGCAAAGCGTGCACGCTGGCGGGTCACTGAGCTCTTCCCGGCAAGAAGCATCTGCGACACTACAGGAACTAGTTTATAGCCAACTGGATTCCCAGAGATGCGGTTGCGGTGGCTCTCGTTGATGATCTTGAATACGCGGTTCTTTTCGGGTGCTGCATCGGCAAACGTCGACTTCTCAAAAACACTTGTCTGCACTGTCCACGCATTTCCAAAGGGGTTCTCCTCCGTTTCTGGAAGAGCAACTGACTCTTCCTGTACCAGGGTATTCCGGGTACCATCGATCATTGGATCGATGCGGAGGCAGAAGAAGTGCTGGTGATTCTGGGCTAGAACCCCTGGTGCGATTATACTGCCCCAGGGGCTGTGTTTTCCTTTCTCAATCGGGGCCGTTGAGATAATTCCCGTGGCACGAATTTCAAACTGCACTGTCCCATCCTGGTGGAAAATCCACGCGAATATGTAATCGTAGTTCATGAGTGTGAGGATGCTCTGCAGCACCAACGTCCGCCCTCGGGTGATAGACGCTACTCCGGTCTGACGGCTGGTATGCTTCCACCCGATTCCCGAATCTTGCTCATGCATGCAGATCACATTACGAGCCTCCCGTGCCTCTCCATTCTCGTCGGCCAGCCATCCATCGAAGTATTGGATCAGACCCAAGCAGTCACAGCCCAAGCCAAGGACATTGGAACAAGCCCCGGCGCCTGCCTCACCAATGTCGAATGCTTGCTTCCGGTGGTACGGGGCTCGTGGATCTGCAACCTATTAGCAACAGACGTATAATCGGATATGCATCTGATATGCGCTAACCACCATATGGCACCGTGATTTCACTTAGACTGAGCCGATAAAAGACCTTTCTCCCGTCATAGCGGATATCGTGGATGGCTAGGCCATCTCGGTAATGAAACCCAACGCGAAACCGCCATTTCTGCCATTGCACGAGATTCCCATTTGAGACGGCAAAGCTTGGGCCCTCGGGCTGAACAACATGCAAAGGCTTGAGATCTGCCCTAACGGGAACCTCCAGCAGGTCTCGATGGTACTCCTTGGGCTGAAAGTTGGCTGGGGGTGTCTCATATCCCGTATTATGCTTCATCCCATCTTCGACACCTCCCGTGTCTAGTGTATCGATCCGGATAACCTTGTTCTTAGCGATATCGAGAACTGGGGACAAGGGCAGAGGAAAAGCATACTGATTACTTTCCGGATGCGGGGAGGTGCAGACGTACAGGTACGCCTGGATCTGTGCAGGTGTGTCGGCATGGGAGAACTTGTCCGCCCCATAGCTCCATGGATCACAGTACACCGTGGCACTAGTGGGGAGATTTAGCTTGGAGATGGCCGCTAAGACGGAGGAATCGTTGAGGATTGTCTGGATAAACTGTTGCGGCTGGCCACTGGGGCGCATGTGATTAGCAATTTATGTGGAACATGTTTGCCTGTCTTACCCGTCATTAGGAACCTGTTGCCCGGCTAATAGCTTTATTACATCTACTTCGGTGTCAGTATCCAAGCTGACAATGCTTTCGAATCCCTCTCGGCCACTCTCATCTGCATATAGCACTGCAACAAGTCGAGGCACGAACGGTCTCGACTCGACTGGGATACCGTCGCTTTCCGCATCAAGATACGGCATCAACAGGGCCTTGGGAGGCTCATGAAACATGATATACTTGAACCGGATCGATGTCAAATTTCCTCTACTCTTTATGCTGCGTCGTACAATATCTGCTGCTCGGCGTATCTCCGATGCAGTGATGTTCTGGAGGGGGTGTCGCCTCATGGTGTTAGACTTTTGAAAGCTTTGACGTGGCGACCGTTCTCGTTTATATTGGTTCCCTTGTTTGTGCGCCTGACGGAAGGAGATGTTCTATATGGGTTGGGTTGGACAATTTTGTGTAAATATTACAAACTTTGAGATGTATCGCTCAAGTCATACATTGTGTCCAGCAAATACGACGATTCGTCAAATGTAGTTGCAGGATCTATCCCCAGTAAGCCCCCTCTTCAACAAACCACAGGATATTCAGCTAGGGAAGAGGAGTTTGAACCGCAAAACAAACATTCACCAGGCCTAATCTAGCGATGGCGTATTTCCCTGGATTTCTAAACATTACCGGGAGCTTGACTCCTATCCTAGTCTCTATTGTATGTTCACCGTTTACTAGAGAATCAATACATGATATTTGACCCAACGAATAAATATTTTGATGAGGGCTAATGGGGTTAATCAATACGCCCCGGAATAGATGCCTCAATGAATAGGAGCCATTCCTTACATCCGGCTTCTTTGAATTTAGACGGGGCTGATCTCTAGTTCGTATCTATTTTGTTATTTTTCACTGTTCACAATCAACCTTGCAATTTATTATTCTCTCGTCTGGTTATAGAATGGTCGCGTTCCTTCCATCCAAATTTTGATACACCGTGAAGTATGGTGCATCAAAGTGCCATCCGATCCATACATGCGGTGTTATCGGTACAAGGTCCATCCTTGTTCGACTTTGTGTTCCAACGGATCACCGGAATGATCTACTCATACAAGCCCAAGCTCAAAGGTGTGCTTTAATCACATATTCTAAGCAGAGTAACGAACAACGAGACGCGGCCCCTATTTCGCCCGGTCGCGAGGTTCGATCTCCGCAAATAAAGTAGTAGGTCAAACGTGGTGGAGCTAACGGAAAGGTCTTTTGTGAAGTACCCATGCGGGGGTACTTCGTCTTTTGTATCTAGCCTGCAGGCTGGGTATTAAATCGCCTAGAATATGTGGGCAGCAAACAACAAATCTCTATTACATTATACTAAATGTATTGAAGTAGGATGTCAAATGAGCACTGTGCCAAAGGTTCCTCCCAGTCTTGAATTCCGATCTTGCTTATCAGCTGGACCACCGCACCGTACATCGCACTGCAAAATAATGGCATCTTGCAACTTCAACTCGCTTTCTCTGACGAAGATAGCAACTACATCCGGAGTCTTGTGGTGCGGGGTCTACATAAAAATCTTGGCTATGGACTACTCATATCCCATAGCTCGAAGAGTGGGTGGATGATATCCGGCCGAGTCCTGAGACCTTGTCTCAAGGATCGATCATTACTACGGATAATTGATCTCGATATCACGAATGCCAACTTCATTGACCTCAGCGAGAAATCAGTCCCCAAGTGGCCGGCTGTGAAGTGAGTGCCATATTATTGTTGACATGCTTTAAATATGTTATTTCGCTCTTCCTTGCATTTTTCTTTGTCTGATGTCTCGGTGTGTTTATGTAAATAGCTTGCTCTCCGTACCCAGGTAGTTCGAAGAATAGTGAGAGGGCGCGGAGCCTTGTTCTTCACGTATGAAATTGTCGCATAGGAACTTGAGATAGAATCAATTGATGAGATCGATATTTCGTCATGTTGCATGAAGATCTTAAGAGTATTTTGTGTAGAGCAATTTCATTTCAACTCTTTCCAGAGGCTCCATTTGTAAATATTATTCGTCTCACAACTCTGTCCACCGGGTAGGACTCTGCTTGGTCGGCAAAACTCGAGTTATCGTCCCCAACTTATCTCTCTTTTCGCTCCATCCTCCTTAGACAACTCAATATGAGATACGTGCAACTCGGAATCAGCGGCCTTCAGATTGCCCCCCATTGGCGTGGGATGCATGGGTTTCGGAAATCCCGAGGGCCGTTTCAAGTGGTCAATTCCGGAGGAAGAGGCACTGCCCATGCTTAATTAGACTTCCGCACCGGCCCATAAAGCCCAAAGCCCAACCCAACCCAACCCCTAAATGGGCCGGGTTTTTGGCCCGGTCCTTAGGCCCATCGATGGGCTATAGGCCCGGGGTGAAAGCCCACTAGGCTTTAATTAGACTGCGACATCGCCCATGGACGGGCGGGTAGGCAGTGCCCACGGGCCTTATATAAGCGGGCGATGGGCACTATCTATACGCCTATGGACGGGCCCTACCCTTAGGGCCTATTGTCTATAGACACCGTGGGCGCCTATAGGCCTTTTTAGTAAGCAGAATTTCTTGACCTCGTGACCTATATTATTTATATATTTTTTCTCTGTATTTTTAAGTAATTCGATTATATATACAATAACTTAATACTACTGTCAATTTTCTAACCTCGGTCAGAAAAATAAACTGTAGAAGCCTTTATACAATAACTTAACACCACAGTCAATTTTCTGACCGAGGTCAGAAATAAGCTTTAGAAGCCTTTATACAATAACTTAATATATTGTCACTTTTTTAACCGGGGTCAGAAATAAGCCTTAGAAGCCTTTATATAATAACTTAGGTATTTATTATAGTTATATATTCACACTAATACGATACAAATTAATTATTATTGGGTTTACTACGCTTCCTTACTTCTCTTAAACTAGGGCGCTTTTGAGTGCTACCCTTATCTCTATAATAAGGGAGATAAGGACTGCTCTTATCTTCGCTGTCGACTAGCTCACTTCTCTATCGCTTCCGCGTACTTAGTACTATATAGACTTCGGCACAACCCACTCTAACCCGGACCCAACCTAACCCAACCCAACCCAAAATAGGTTTTGGGTCTATTGCTTCGACCCAACGATAGGTTTTGGGTTATAGCTTATAACCCAAAACCTATTGGGTAACCTATTGGGGCCCCAATATAGTGTAAACCAGATAAACAGACTTCTAGCGTATAACTGTATAATTAATATATTTTTTGCTTATAATATTGAGTATTTTACTTACAGCGCTCTTCTAGAAAAAATAGAGAATAAATCAAATAATTAAACTAGGATATATTTCTCTAATATTGCTCAAAATCCTTATCTACCCTACTCTTACGCTTCCTCCCTAAGGCCCGTCTCTGAGTTATAGTCTCTAGTAACTCTGGCTCTGTTACCTCTATATCTATATCTATTAAATAAGGAGATATCTCTCGCAGTCTATTATCTACTCCTTCTTCCTCTTTATTATCACTAATCAGGTTAAGCTTAGTATCCTCTGTATATTTATCGTTCTGCTCCTTCGCTGACTCAATCTCAGCTAGTGTAAAGAACTGCTTAAGCTACTTTACCTCAGAATCCTTAATATTGAATCTTATTGTATATAGAAACAATATAAGCTCCTCGATTGTTTCGGACTTTAGATAACTACAGCGGTAGTAATAAATATCCTAAGTAGTATTAAAGAGCTGTTCGACACCAGTACTAGTTACTAGGATAGAGAGAATATCGCGAGTAAGTAACGCAATCGTAGGGAAACAAGATTAGTTCTCCCGCTAGAATTGAAGAGGTTTAATATTAATTAGATCTAGTAGTATAAATATATTAGTATTATCCTATATAGGGAAGAAATAGATTATAAATATACCACTATCGAGATATTAAGTTATCTTATTACCAGCTGGTTTTACGGATATCTTATTACTCTTTAGTATTATATTCAGCCTAGAACTAGATAATACTATTGTTAGAGTATTAGTCGATCCTTAATTTATTATAAGGCGCTCTTAATACAGAATCAATAATTCCTAGAATAATTTCCGGTAGGTATCACGCTAGTGAGGCTCCCAATTATTAGATAGAAAGAACTAAAATCTGCTGTTAGGTGCTAGTATTGTCCTAACTGTATAGATATATCCTTTAAGATTATCGGTTTAAGAGTAGTACTTATTAAGTTTTAAGCGACCAGCTATAAGTACTTTAAGTATATCTGATTTCTATAGAATACGCTTACGTTTAAGCAGCGCCTCTGCTTCAAAAAAGTGATTAAAGAGGGTATTATAAATCTTAAAGATAAGATATATAGTGACCTCCTTTATCTTCGAGAGCTCTGTTATATAGTTAAAGAATAGCCGAGTGATTTATAGAAGATAGTTAATTTAACGCTATTCTTAAGTATTAAGCAATATCTCCTTACAGTTATACTCCTTATAGAAGGGCTAGAAGAAACTACGTAGTCTCTTTACACAACGAAGTATTAAGAAGGTAGAATTCCACCGAGTCCTTACGTCCTAGATTGGAATAAGCTGGGATCCCTTTTCTTAAAGTCGGAGAAAGGCCGCCTAGCGTTACGGACTTATATAGATATATACAGTAAGATAACGGACCTTATTTAAGGTATATAAGATCCTCTGTGTCTAGTGCTAAGTATTTACCTTTACTGTAGATAACTTCTAGTTAGTCTACTTTGTTTCTATATTCTTATTTAGAGGGATAGCCTTTAAACGATTAAGGAGCTAGTTTAAATAAAGCTAGATAATATAGGTAAGATAGGGTATTCGGATTACTATTATATCGCTAGAGAGCGCCTACTGAATAGCCTTAACTATTGTCTTATTGTTAGTTATATTATCAGTTATAACTCTAAATACCCGATCCTAGATCTTATACTTAACTAGAGTTTTAAGGAGTATACTACTTAGATTTAAACCGGTATAGGAGCTATAAAGTGGTTTAAATCTAAGTAGAACTTCTTAGTATACCTAGTTACTATTAATAAAATAGCTAGTGATAGCTATAAACGCCTAGTTATATAGAGAAGTCTAGCAATCTAATACGATCGAGATTTTTACGTCGTTAGGTAGTGTTTAGAGGATAGATTTCTATTGTTCTATAATTATATTACGTAAACGACGACGTATTGTAGTAGCAGAGGGTATCGGAGGGAGAGATAGTGTAGAGCGGGCTAATCGGAATAGCTTATAAAATATTAGATATTCGATAAGGTAGAATAGAAGTCGATTGAGGGTAAGAAATTGGAGAAGATACTCTTCCTATACCGATTATAAAAAAGGAGCCT